GTGTTATGAGCTTACAAGCTAATACAGCACACTGGCTCTAGTTCAAGATCACAGCAGGGACAGAGGCTGTATTTAAAACTGTCTACTATACTAACAGCACTCACTGATTTAACAGACATGTGGTACTTGAACAGAAGAGCAAATCTGCAGTTTACTAATATTTGACCGTTTTTTGTCACGGATAGCTATTTTCAATCACATGAGGCAATTGTTGATGAAATGCCAGCTACTGTGTAACAAATAAAGTGTAACACCAAAACTAAAACCTAAACACACATTCATCTGTTGGTAAGAATCCATATCAATGTTTCATTATGACTGCAAGATCTTGTAAATGAGTGCCTAGATCAAATGTCTGCAGGCATTGGACACTGTTTATCATTGTGTATTACTTTTTGTGACTGGTTGCGGTCGCCTCATTCACGCACCGCTGTGCGCTCTATGCCAAAGCTGAGTGGCCCTCCTTGAGCTCCAGGGGGTACACCCACTGGATGTACATCCGCAGCCCTTAATCTAGGAAAACTTTGGAAAGACTTTCCTGGTTAAATTTTAATCTTTAAGTGTTAAATGACCTTAGATATGAGTGCAAATGTACTGAATGAGCAAAAAAGAAAAGTTTTTTGTTGAGTCACAAAGACGTTTCCTCAGTCTGATTTTCCTCAGAGGTAGTTTGGGGAACAACATTTACTGAAACTCACTCATGTTCAAAGACTTGTCAGCAGCATGGGCCCTTTTTAATATCAGCCTTCGAGACCTCTCCTGGCCCCCCACCAGCACTTCTAATCGGGTCGGCGGGAAGTGATTTGATCTCAGTGAAAAGCAAAGCATCTGAAAATCTACAGGATTGGGACGTGGAGAGGGTCTGTTTGGCCTTGTGTGCTCATGCTGGTTTTGAGAGTGAGAGATGGTGACAGCAGGTGTCTAAGTGTCCTGAACCTCTTGGTGTCCCATGGCAGCACTTTCATCTGTCTGAGGCCACAGAGACAACATGCAAAACAGACAGACCTGGAGGAGAAAGTGACAGGATGTTTTTCTGGAAGCCGGGTTTATGGGCAGGAAGGCCTCAAGCTAAGGTGAACATTTTCATCAAAGGATAATTCCAGTGTATTAAAACTAGGGTCATGTCATTCAGACAACTACTTCTATCTGATAAAATCACTATTGTTCCCTAAAGTTACTCTCAAGATTTAGGATGATCACAGAGAACGCCAAAGAAGTTGTAGGGAATCCACAAGACTAGATTGATTTACGCAAACTGAGCTGGGAATTTTCTCCCACAACAAAAGAAAGTCTTTAAGGGGCAGTTCATTCAGAAAATTTCCAAACTCTACTCCTAATATTAATTATGAATCTGTGGGCACATAAATACTGCATCCATTTGATCAAAATTTAAGAAAGAAACCAGCTCTGACGAGTTTCTAATCCTTTTCTACTGCAGTCTTGACAATCTGCCATGCTTATTGCAGATTAACACTGTCCTTATTGTTTCCAATGGGACCACTCAAGTCAGCTCAGCTCTCTGGGCTTTTACAGAAACACTTCATCACATGGTCTTTGCTGGTCGATGGGATTTGATCAGTTGTCTCAGAGATTAGCCTGCTGACATGCAAGCTTCGGGGCTGACTACAATGTAGTCCACCAGTATTGTTTAAGCCAGAATCAAGGGTTGGGACTTCCAGTGGACGTAAAGTGAGGATTTTTTTAGCCTTGAAGAGCAGAAATCAAAAATCTATCACTTTGGCGCAACCTTGCGTCTGATCTCGAGCCAAAGTAAAACCCTGTAAACCAGTTAGACTCTATCCATGTTTGAGCGAACACTTGTATAACTTTTACGCCTTCTAGGAAGCAGGTGTGCATCCCAGTCGGACCACAGTCAGCCTATTCATGATAACTGTCTGAGAACTTACAAACAACATTAGCAGCACGCCTCATTTACAGGGTGATTAATGAAAGCCCATTAAAATGAGAGTAATCCATGATTGGACACTGACAGTGAGCTGACTTTAAGGTTTTGCTCTGTCCAGTATCAGTCCTGTTTGAATTAATAGAAGAGCTTTCTTAACTCCAGCATGTGTCAGATAGAGTCACTCTCAGGTTTTATGTAAATGAGGCTGTTCCAGCTAGCTGGAGCCCTTGAAATCATTTGCTTTTATGCTTTAAAGTTCCCTTATCGGTGCTTTCCTCTTAGTTCTGCATGCCTTGCAAAACAATGACGTGAAACATGGTGAGAGGCAGTGAGCACAAACAACAACCGAGGAAGTAATCACGGCGGACAGAAGACGTGAACGTTACAAAACACTGAGCTAACTAAACCAATTATCGTTGTGCTTACAATATCAGCTCTAAAAGTAGAATGGTAAGACATCCCGACTTAGTGGAAAAACCTGTCGCTTTATAAGAACAACAGCTTTCCAGCAATAAACTCTGCGTGCTTCTCTGAGATCCAAGGGCTTTTCTATCCCAGAAGATCTGTATATTTTCAGACTGCATGGATCCAATCCCTCAAAAACTTGAGTCATCTGTATGTGTTAGTTTTAGTCATATAGTGGCTACTATTGTAATCAGCTAACTTTTAAAGGCCCAATCAGAAGCCAGGCTTCTCTATCTGAGTAATCAAACTTGTGTTGACATGTCAGATCAGATTATTGATAAACTGTTGGGTGGAAAAGAAGAACCAGTAATGACAATGATATCAACAAAATCTTATCAAAGCCCGTCCCTTCTGCTGGTCAACTCCACCCAGGATTCAAGTCTACTTTCACCTGCATTAATGCTGCGATCCAGTTACCTCGCAAGTCGGAGCTGGGAAGGATGTTACACCTGAGTTGACGGCGTTCCAGTTAACAGGTCGGAAAACCAAACTGGATGCCTACAGTTACCCGTTGTTAGCTGTTATTTACAATTGTCAGCTGTTGTTGGCCATTGTCAGCTATTGTTTGTTGTTGTTAGCGATACCAGTTGTAAACAATGCATGACACGGTATTTTACTCTTACAAAAGCCACAGCACCATGTTTACAATTAGACGTTGGGCAATAAAACATATACCACTTACTTCATTTCGCAAAACCAAAACAGAAGTCCTAATTACTCTTTACTGTTGATGCACTGCCATCTTGGATTATGATGTTGTGGTTAAGTCAGGGTTGGTGACGTAGGAGTCGGAAATCCGACTTCAGGGGGGTGTTCCACATGAATTTCTGACTCGGAGCTCGGAAACTGCGACTTCTGAGTACAACTGGAATGCAGCATTAGTATCTGTTTATTATCCCATGCTGTAGTTCTTCAGTCTAGGACTCAGACTACGTTGCTTGATCACCAATAAGTACTTCAAACAATGCAGGAGAAATCAGTACTTACCAAAATATCCCCTATCAAGACAAATACATTGTACTTATGAATACATTCAAACCTAGTTTTTATTTTACTCAGTCTACATCATTATCTGAGACAATTTAATCCCACCTCATAAGGTTTGTAAAAGAAATTCTGGCAACACTCAAAGTTGTTAGAAGCAAAATACCTCTTATGTAAGTTTCTATATTTAAATATACTCCTCTTAATCAGAGGGAGTAAACAGAGTGTACCATGTTTTCTTATGCAGGTGGCTCATATTTTCACGGCTGCCTCTTTCTCTTCTCAGTTGGCGCCTGAACTGTTTCAGATTCACTCTAAGTGCGAAATGTCAGAACACCCCTGTGACATTTTCCATGTTTCATTTTCCTCTGGACCTTGACTGGAGTCCCTGCAGTGTCTCATATCTCCTACCTCCCCATATTCTTTGTTCGTCCACGTCCACATGACGGAGTCCACACCTGAAAACCATCTCAAATTAGACCACCATTAGTGACTCAAAAGGTGTTTCCCTGCGCAAAAACACCACGTAGTCAAAAATGCTTGTCTGCCACTATAGCAGGAAACCTGTGTAGTGGGTGGATCCACATCTGGGAACTACAGCTGCAGGGAGCACGGATCCAGATGGATGGATGCTATACTGCTTGTGGAAGTCCTTATTACTCCTCCACATCCTTCAAGAGGAGCCTGGCTATTGAAGCCATTAATCCTCTGCTGCTTCAGGGGTCATATGTCACCGCAAGTCCATCTCTTCCTCGGCTGACACGCCATCTCACACCTACACACACACTCGCGCAATGTCTAGAAAACCCACAGAGACGGGTTTGTTGTGATGGGTCTGGGTTAGCCATGCGTAAGGAGCCAATTGGATGTTTTCATCACAAGGAGAGGTGCACTCACAACAGACAGAGTGGTAACCTCAACAGGTCAGTCAGACAACAGAGTCTCCTTAAATTATGCATCCAGTATGCAATTAGTAACAAGGATATTTTTTCTTCGATTGCTTATAATTTATTCACAATAAAATTATCCAGATATCCAGGCAAATTTTTGACTTCTCTTAAAAATCAAAGATGTTCTTCCTAATAATTGGTCCTTCCCTCCAAAAACAGGAAAAACCTGTAAACTGTAGACGACTCTGCAGCAAAGAAGGTAAAGAGCAGTTTGGATCTCCCTAAAGACTAAAACATTCCCAACATAGAGACAAAAGATTTATCAAAATGTCACCAAATCCTGTGGGTGTGAAAAACTGCAGCACTTATTTGGTGCAAAGTGCAAAGTTGGGCGAAGATATGCAAGCTGAAATCAAGTCAGAACACAAGATTAGTGTGTCATCTTCCCAATAAAAAGTTTACACCCACTGATTTTTTCAGAGATAGTCATGCAAGCACGAAACCTAAGTTGGTGATTACTCAGAAGGGCGTGCTACTGAACTGACAGACACAAAAGCTTTTCCTAATAATATGGGCTTTCCAGAGAAATATCAATTTTTGTGATAGATATTGCATTCCAGTTGTACTCAGAAGTTGGAATTTCTGAGCTCTGAGTCGGAAATTCATCTGGAACTCCCCCCTGAAGTCGGATTTCCGACTCAGAAAGTCAGACGATCCTCACCAACCCCAACTTGTCGACAACGTCATACTCCAAAATGGCAGCGCAGTGCAACAAAGGTAAAGAGTAACAGTAAAAGCTCTTGTAATGTATTATTTATTAGCACTTCTGTTTTGTTTTTGTAAAATGGTATATGTTGTACTGCCCAACGTCTAACTGTGAACACGGTGCCATGGTGTTTGTAAAAGTAAAATACTGTGTAGTGCGTTGTTTACAACTGGTATCACTAACAACAACTAACGGCTGAAAACAGCTAACAACAGCTGACAACCACTAACAATAGCTGACAATTGTAAACAACAGCTAACAACAGGTAACTGTAGGCGTCCATCTTGGTTTTATGACTCATTAACTGGAACACCGTCCACTCAGGTGTAACGTCATTCCCAGCTCCGACATCCAACTTCCGAGGTAACTGGCACGCAGCATGATATTGGATTCTATTGAAGCAGTAGTCAGCTTCGTCTACATGCTGATTTTTTTAATCAATTATTGACTACAAAATTAAGACATAAAAACACTCCTTTTTCCCTAAACATCAATGATAGCCTTGTAGCAATAACTACACTGGATAATACAGGACTATCAACCCTGAGTTTACGGTTTAAAGCGCTTGTAATCTTATATTCTATAAAAAGTTTGTGAAGTTTGAAACATCAGCATTTCATCAGAAAACAAAAGGCCTCTGGGTAAACCTCCTACGTATGGCTTCATTAAGGAAGACCACGGATGCTGTGTAGAATCTGAGTTTAGTAGCTCTGACGTGCCCTCAATGGTCCTCAAGTAAGTTTACATTCAATCAAATCCGGCCAATACTTGATTTAAACCGCAGCCTTCATCTTTAAGTTGTTTACATGATGTTGGAAGTGAAAACAAAGCCTTTTGTTCAAACATACGAACAACCGTGTGTGGCGTAGGCTCTTCTTTTCCTCCCACGTAGATCACAAACTCAAACTGACTTTCTCCAAACTTCAGGCTCATCCCTTTGGTATGGGCATTGGTATGTCGTCCTTTTACAATTTATTCTTCCATGTTTCTCAGCTAAAAACCTTGAAAAGTCAACTGGAGACTGTTGTTTAACTTTCACCTGTAGCTTGTAAGAGCTGACAGCAACAATTGTGATTTTAGACAGCTGAATCAAACCCAAAGATTAGTTCAAACAGTTTCTGCTATGCTTTTTTCCAGAGTTTTTCTTTGTTTTGAATCCTACCCTCACTGTGTAGATCAATAGATAACACCTTGGTGACCTGTGGTCTATTGTTAACCAGTTGTCGTACAGCAACCATCAGTCTTCCAGCAGAAACAATCTGTCTCTGGGGATTTGAAAGCCCAGGACACAGCAAAGTAGTGATGAGTGAACCAGCTGTCCTCTCTGCCTCCTAAAGCCCCATGTGGAAGTGCACACACGCACAACTACCTCTCATCTGCCTTCCTGCTCCCCTGATCTCCCACTTGTTTAATGTGTGTCTGTCTGTTTGGAGGGAACATAGTAATCTTACTTCAATGTCAAACGCTGTGCATCCACTCTTATCCGCCTCTCCTTCCCCAGAGTCCAAGCTCCTGTCTTGGGAAACACGATATCGAGTCATAACAGAAAAGAACAGAGGTAAGTTATGGGCTGAAAGTGGACTGGGATTCTTTGGAGGTGTTCAGTGACACAGAAAAAGATGTTGGTCCTCTGTTTTGTCTCACAACAGGCAGCTGCTGTTGTTCCCTGAACCTCCACATAGTTGGGTCTGTTTGCTGCAGCTGAATCAGTTTCCGACTCAACTTTAGTGCGTCACTACAACACTGTGAGTCATACAAGTTGCAAAACAAGGAGTTTCAAAAATGAGAAGTATTATCTCATCAACTCCCCACTTCTGGCACAGCACCACACAATGCTGCCATCTGCACGTACTCTATGAATGAAATCATACGCTGACCTCCTCCTGTACCCCTTAAGGCAGCAGAAGTCATTTTAATCTGCTTAAAAAAATTCTTTTTGGCAAAAATTTAAACTAGACTTGTGGCCCTCTTGACCCCACTGGCTAGACAGCTGAAATTGCATCATTTCACGAGGCTTGGATTAAAAATTCCACATATTTCAGTACATCAGGAAAGACTTAGTAACGGTGAATTGGTCTGTTATAAGTTTTTTCAAGAAATAGAGCAACTGCAATTCAGGAGTGTACGTCAGTATCACTGTCTGCTGGTTACTTTTCAAAACTTTCTGCTTCTTTAATTCCCAAAACAATCATTCGTAGCATTTCTAGTACAGACTTCTAGACTTCTAAACAACTCAAAAAACCACTCTTTACTTAGAATTAGCCACTTTAACGAAAGAATAAACATATGTAACAGTATAAATAAACTATCTAAATAAATATACGTTTACATTTAAAGCTCATGTGATGAAATTTCAGACTGTGTCTATTTTGGTGCCTCCAGTGGGACTTTTAATCCTTTCGCTGACCTGTTCATGCACCTTCTGACTAAAATCTTCCCCCTGCTTTATCACAAATACTGAACATGCAACTCACTATGAATGTTGAGGGAGGAAAGCTTGAGGTACCTCCTTTAAAATATTCCCAAAAGATGTGTAAAACAAATATGAAGAAATGATAAATCTGCCCTCTGATGGTCCGACTTTGTTTCTTTCCATCATGAAGAGTTACCAGTATAAATTCAAATCTGTTAAAAGTCCTCACAAGACCTTTAAATAATGATTTCTTGGCAAATGTCTGACTAATTCCACTCACACAAATCCCATTCATGTGCTTTAAACATCTATTTTCTTAGATATTATCCTCTCTCTCCCCTCTTTTTCCACGTGGTTTGGTCGTAGTTAAAGATTCTGTTCAGGAAGTTGAGTCCGAACATTAATGCAGGTCATAAATCAGCTGCTCACGGCTGGATTATCGAAGAACATTCTATGAAGCAGGCGTTTGGAGCCGGTCCAACCCATGAACAAAGAGCTGCCTATCTTTCCCTCAGCTCAGGCTATGCACTTGTTAAACCCTGCGTGACGTTTGTCTTTTTCGGCTTCCTGTAGGCCGCTATCGCACTGCAACCAAAACTTTTGTCCTTTCTCTTAAATGCTTTTCTTCTGCTCCTTTCTCTCTGGCTCCCTCTCTTTATAATTTGCTGGTCACAGTTTGAAGTCAGCCAGCTGGGACTTGGTCAGTAATTGGAGTCTCTGCAGTGACTGCCTACAGCACAGCTCCAAACGATGCACTGGGGAGGCTCCCAAGGAAAACTCAATAAGCTCTTCACACTTAAGAGTAATCATCATTATTATTTTTCCACTGTAGTGAACAATACACAGCTTATTGGTGACTATAAATAGGTGAAAGACAAGCAGAAATATACAAGCATTGTTTGTTTTTGAGTGTCTTTCTTTCATCTCATCTCTATTTTAAATTGTCCTTCATTCATTTCCCACGGTGCAGCTTTGTTGTTTTAAGTGGGTCAAGGTCTTACCCTTTCACAACATTGTCTTCTCACTTAGTCTATCAGCCATTACAGACATGCAGAGCACATCAAAGGCCCGAACACAGTCATTTCAACACAATGCACATTATTTTCTGCTGTTTTAACAAAAGAGTTAGGATTAGGATAAACTTTCCTTTTAGCAGGAAAATTGAGTATGCATTATGTTCATGTAAACAAAGGATGTAATTTTATGCTTGAAACTGCTGGATCAAGAACAATGTGGACAGTGTACGATCTGTTTTCTGAAGGCCTGTTTTGACATAATGCTTAAAAAAGTGATGCTTCAGATACCCCATATTATGATTCTAGATGCTGTTGTTTATGTTGTTGCTTTGAGTTGACCCTGAAGTTGTGGGAAGAGTAGGAAAGTCTCAGAGTCTCAGAGAAGAATCTGCAACAAATGGTTGGGTCATGTGTGAATATGAATGCATAAGATCCAGTTTCACCTGTTTTCTAACCTGACTGTGTCATATTTTCATGTTAGCTGGTAAAGCTGCTGACAAAATTCAGGGGAAGTTCTTCACACCTAAATCAGCCTACGAACTAAAGAGGCTGTGCAGGCTTAGAAGACTTAGTGATTGAACGCTGGCACCCTTGCTAGTCTACTACAAAACTTAAACATGCAGCTGGTGGTGGTGCTAGCTCTGCTAATGTTAGCCTCACTCAAAACAGTCAGTCAGTACGTTTACATGCACAGTTTAGATTAGGTGATCTAACTGGACTACTGGCCTTGTCCCTGTTCACACCAGGCAAGAATTGAATTATTAACAGAAACATGCCCATCTCCACTATGGTAGGGTGACCATACTCTGACTTCCAAAAAAAAAAGGACACAACTACACGGGGGAGGCGTCATGGAGTGAATTTTGAGAGTTTTTTGAGTCAGGTGGAGTGTCTTTTACATGCTTCTAACTAAGTAAGTCCACGTAACACAAACTTGAAGCTTCCTTACAATACCATGGACATTTGAAGGATTCTATTAAATTCCCCAGACAAAGCTAGACAAGCCCAGACAGCCCCCCCAAAAGAGGACATGTCTGGGTAAAAGAGGACATATGGTCACCCTACACTATGGTATGTGATGACATCCCCCCTTTCAGCTCATTACTATTGAGTCATCTCTTGGTTGACATGTTATGTACCAAAACAGACAGTAAAACTGGTTCAGAAGTCGTTAAGAGGATGCATGTTGATGAAAACCCTCTCACTTTTGCAGCTCTGTATGGTTTGTGCAATATTACAATTTCGTCTTTCTTTTGCATCTTTTCTCTGTCTGTTGAGGTTTTCTGTAATACCAAACTACCATCCAACTTCCGGCCAAAAGCCCAGGCGTGCGAGCTCTGAAGCTTGTGCAGAACACCTTTAAGCCAGTTCCAGTCCACATTGATGACAGAGGAAATCGATCCCCAACCACATAATCAATGAGAAGTTCAATTTTGTGCAATTTCAGTCAGATTAAGAGTTTACATGTTTTTTAAGTTTTGGACTTTTTAAGCAGTTGACTTAATTTCATGGTAAGCTATGTACAATGTTAGCATGCTAGTTACTCTGGTTAATTATGTTAGGCTACCTAACCATCATTTTACTGTAAACAATAGGACGAAACAACAGCTAAGTTTTGTAGCCGACTCCCTCATTTCCAAACTAGTTCTTCAAGATTAAGTGCCATAAGATTACATAAGCAGGAGACCAAACCAAAGACCATCACTACCTGCAGCTAATGATAATAAAACCTTCAACTCTGCCAATCTTCTCTCCTGTAGGTGAAGTTAAATAAAAGAGAGCTTTAACCACCCCAATGTCTACAAAGCCAAAGCAGACAGAAAGCCCCCCATCCTGTTCAAAAAGCACAAAACCCTTCGTTTTTGACAAGACTCAAAGCCCTCTTCATATGACGGCGAACACCGGCTTAAAACGTGTTTTTCATGGGTAGCAGTCTGTGGATGATATGAGGTTAAGTCTTGATGCTTTTAAGATTTCTCTTGAACACGCATATTGACTGCATATTTGTCTGACATCCTCTGCTTTGACAGAGATATCGACTTTGCTGCTCTTGAGTAATAATAAAGGGCATTAAACTGTGATGCCCCCCAACCACTTTAAAGATTATGTGCTCACTTCAGAGCCCGCTAGGCACCAAAGTGAGAGGATAAACAAAGTGTTAATTGCAAAAAATGGATTCACTGCCAAGTCAGCGGTATGGCTGGACCGGTGCTACCCCACAAAAGGTCTAACACCCTCTGGCTGACATGGAAAACAGTCTGAAGATTTCATGCAAAGGGGAAAAAAAAGATGAAAGAGAATTGAGTCCAAACTGCCTTTCAAACATTTATATTGTTCAGTCTCTAGAGATCTGTCAAAACTCTGGAAAGTGAGCTCAGGCATCCACTCTGCAGAGGAAACAGATCCCATTGGTGCAGGTATGGCTCTCAGGAGTGGTAGTATACATTTCAGCTTTAAGATGCTGCTCCAGGAGCTCAACATATAAAGCATGACAACCAGACCACACCATGAATCATGGCTGGTTGTGATCACTTCCTGATTAAGAGCACCAAAAATTCAGGCATCCCTCACACCTGGTAAAGCACACTGAGAGCCCTGACACGCAGGCACTTGGGTGACACCGTGATGAATGAGCGGGTGATGAAACACAGAGGCTCTGTGAACCCTCCCCTACAAACAGTGCCGCCACCACTCTGGAGGATAAAACATATTACATTCACAGCCCCAGGCCTTGGAAAGGAGTCAACATGATGAAGCAAAACTGCAGAGAGTGCAGCACATTGTTCGATTAAGTCTCCTCTGCTTCACCCGCGCTGACAGTTTCATGTTCATTATTAAGCAAGAGAGGTTGAATTTGATACAGAAACCTCCAGTAAGAAAATACAACTGAACAGCTGAAATACAAGCAGCTCTCCTGGCCTGTGCCTATGGTCTTTGGAGGGAAGGAAGCAGACAATGTGATTGGCTGCTGAAGGGCCCATGTCGTCTAATTAAAAAAAGGAAGAGTGATGACTCGGCTCATCCTCGGTGAATTATCGCTACAGGGCGTCTCACTATGCGGTGACTCAGCTCTCTGTGTCTTCCTCAGGATAGTGGCCCAGGCTTCCTGACAGGACAGTTCCTGTGCCACCGCCCACCCCGCATCATCACAGAGACACAGTAGAGCACAACTTGTTATGAAACAGTTGTGGTGATGCAACACTGGGAGCAACGCTGGTTTCAAAGAGTATAAACAAAACATTTGGCTGAAGAATGGCAGATTTCTCCCCTCCAGCTGAAGATTTAGAGCTCTGTGATTGAACTGTAGCCTGCGCAGGAAGAGGTGGGCGATTTTGGAGATTTTTTGAGGTGTAAAAAAAATGCTGCTTGCACAGTATGTCAATAATTCACGGGCTATTTAGAGGCTGCAAAATGCTAAATGAGTTATGGTGTATTTAAACAAGGGGGTCAACGCAGTCACATTAATGCAGTCCACTGCGGCAGCGGTGAACCACGAAACCTGACATTAATCCTGAGGGTAATGTGGCCCTTCCTGTGCCTAATGAAATCTGAAGCTTTTAAATGGCTGCACCTAATGACACTCCCTGACAGTTTTTGAATTAAGCAGCCATGACTAGCAGGACTGGACCAAATAGCACACAGATGGCCGACACCAAACTTTGGTTCACCCACCCCCATTCGCTGTTTGCCCTTGAGCTGTTGCATGCAACGCCTTACCTGCTCGAGCATTAAAAGGAGCAGAGGATTTTTCACTAGACAACAAGAACCTGCCAAGAAGTGATAGATAAATGTAACTTTAGGCACATGGAAAGATTGAAGTTTATTTAATCTTTGGGGTTTAAATATTCATCATTCAGAGAATACCTGTTGACTCACAGATGTCCTTTTGCAATTCTAATCTTTTACAAATTGTTTTGAGAAATTGTCTTCGAACATTTAATGTTTGCTTTCTTTTTCAGCCACTGCAACATTCTGCTGGATAAAATCCCAGTTTTAGAAAGCCAATGTTTGGATTTTCTGACCCCCAGTTGTGGAGAGTACATCAGATCAGCTGGAGCTCAGGGAATAGCGCAATCATTTTTCAAATTTTGCTGAATGGACTGCACAGGATGTATGAGTAAGAAGGTCAGAGTTTAAGGAGCTATCATTTGACGCAGCAGTATGTCCCTAAAGCTTGCATTACACATGCAAAGGGTGTACCTTATAAGAGTAGCTGCAGTATGTGGATAGGTCAAAAGGAAAATATTTTATTTGGACGCAAAAAATGATCATATATCCACCTCCTGTTGTCCTTTTCTCTTTCATGTTTTTGGCTTGTATAGCCCACAACATTATCCAACAATGGGGCCACATAGTTGAAGATTCTCCAGTGACTTAAAACAATATGCCTCAAATGCTTCAACTGCCCACCTGTAAAGTGAACACCAGAGCAGGGCTGTCAGCAGTCACATGTCAAATGCAATCAAAATCTGAAATTAAGGCGTTAGCTTTCACTCATTAGCATGCTATTTTATCCCCTCTGGCACACCGTAGTTTAGCCACTGCAGCATTTTTCTGCTTTCTGCAGCTGTCTTGCAGAAACAATACCTCTACTTTGGAGTGAAACATTTCAACTTAACAAAGAAAAATTCCAGATGGCTTAGTTGATGAGTTAAAAGTAATACATACACTTTGCATCAAATATAGTGAAAATATCACCATAGGACCTCAACTTAAAGTTGAAGTTTTTAATTCTTATTAATTTAAGTAATATATCTACATATTTATTTTTTAAACAAATGTCTACTTTTGAGCCTTTCAGACACTACTCAGTGCCATTAATCTCAGTAACATTTCATTTATCATGAATCAAACTCAGACCAGAAGTGTTTTCAACTAGCACTGCAATATATGAAATATATTTTAATGGTTTTTGGAAATGCCAGTATGAGTTTCTTTTCTGTCAATTAACTCTTGTTTTGTATGACCTTCTGTCATAATGCCAGGCAATCAGCTTTTTTCAACAGACATTATATCCAGCCAGACTTCTCTGAGGACAGTCAAGCTTGTCGCAGCTGGGCGCAAACATGAAATCTGAAACCACATAATTGCTGATTTGATTGCTCCAAATATGTGGCGCATGCAATCTTTCCAAACCAAATAAATCAATTAATTTACACCCAGCCAAACTTCAGGGAGAGCGGTCTCTGTTGGACTTTTTCTGCAGCAGCGCCACGGTGAATAAACATCTGCAGAAAACAGCTCAGACCCGCTTCTTTCATGTGCAACAAACAAACCATTCCAGCAACCCACAGAGGCACAATGCAACTGCTGCCAAGGGAGGCAGAGTGTGAAAACCACTTTATACGGGTTGGAAAAGCGTCACAAAACAAGAAAATAGAGCTTATTTCACACACTTGAAAGATACAGGATTATGCTTTTTATTCTTTTGCTTTCAAAGATGTTTCTTTTTAATGATAATCCTCTCCGATTGCAAATAACTTCAAAATTTGGAAACTTGCCATGGGCTGAAATTTATATCCCCAAATTGTTCTCAAAGGTTTTCAAACAGCTGAAGCACCACTTTTATTGCACTATATGCTTTAAAGTGACACCAAACATTGAGCACACCAGCTTTATCTGCGCTGAAGAGCCTCCCGTGGCGCAGAGCAGGCTCAGTGTCCAGATAATGAGCAAGCACCAAGAGGCCCAAACACTCATTTGATCACAAACACATCACGACAACCGCTTGCTCTCATTTAGTATCTCTGTGTCATTTAAAGCAGTTGGAGTGGTGTACAGAGAGGGGAATGTGCTGCATGAAGCATCATGTGCTGTTTTCCCAGGGTAACTCATGAAGGCAGGGCTGCCAGGAAGCTCTGGTGATGGTGCTGAAATCCAGACTTGCAACAATACTGAAATACTTAAACACAAACAGAGCTCCAGAAGAAACGAGTTACCATACAAAGGCAAACATATTGATTGTGTCACATGATTTTTACTTTTTTTTTGCTGGTGTGTTTGTTTTTCTCAAGGAGAGCTCTGACAACATTTCTGCAGATCATTACTACAGATATCCAAAGTCAGATGCTTCTTCTTTTGAAGAGAGAACGATACTTAAGTGAAACAGACTGAATGAAAGTTGAGTTAAACAGTCGATACACAGGTGGTAGAAATAATCTTATGATCACTGAGAGCTGGTGTTGTGGGTTGCAGCTTGTCCTCAACTCTCAGACTCTGGGTTTAATTCTCAGTAGAATTAAGGCTAGACTAAAATACCCCCTCAGTTATTCAGAGCAAAAATAAAAAGTACAAAATACCATACAGTAGTTAATTAAAGGCATGGTTGACGATTGGAGAGATTGGTTATTATTATGAACCTTGTTTTTATGGCGATCATGGTCCTATAGTGCAATCACCTGAAAGTGAAGAGAAAAAAGAATGGAAAAAATCTGTTCACCCTAGCAGGTGCAGGGCTGCAAAAACATTGACCAATGGGAGCCATCCATCCCAGACAGCTCCCATTGGTCAATCTCCTGCCCAGCCTCTCCATCCAATCACCTAGCTGTATTCGACACACCCCCTCCCACTCTTCCGGCTCTCCTCGGAGCTCTAAGCGGCTAAATGTAGCGTAGCAGCTTAGCGACAGGACGCAAAAAAAAAATAAAACACTCCTGCTTTCCCCACCGTCAAAAGTGGGAAGAAAACGCTGACCGAAAAAGGGCAGAGGAGAAGAGGAAATGTGAACAAGCGAGGAATCGAACTCGAATAAACATCAGGTCATCATTGGAGCGGTGGCGAAAGCTCTGCAAGGATTTGGGCCTGAAAACAGATGCTGAGACAGCACTTTTTGTTGAACAGGTCATTTTTGCCTTTTATCGTGACACATGTTACATAAATAACTCTTATTAATCTCTGCAATGTCAAAACGGTAGCTGTCCAGGCAGCTGCAGATGGTGCTCGCTAGCAGAGCTGGCGTTTACTGCCGCTAGCAATCTGACATGGTGAATCCTATATGAAGGTAGCATAGGATCTTCTGCTGGCCAGCTTCTTGCTCTGCCAGAGGGGGTGTGTCATGGGGAGGGCGGTACAGGTCTGGGGGGGAGTTATCCTGGAGCACAGAGGGGAGAGGTTTGTGTGTGGGGGGGTGGGACGCTTTCTTTCAAATCTACCTAAACGGCTCAGTTTTTTTCAACTGCTTCTCAGATCGTCAACCGTGCCTTTACAGTACCTTTTTTTTTTTTCTACTCATTTGATGTTGTCCTAAACTATCAGAAAACATAAACATCATTGTTAAAAAGACTAAAAGAGCAAAAAAGCTTACGCTGGTACAATGGTAAATAATTTTTTTCAGTTTCATAAATCAGAGCTTGGAGTTCAATATCTCCACAGTCACAGACTGTGAAAAGCCCCGTGTTCACTGACTTCTTTTGCACCGTCAGAGTTTATTCTCTGGGTAACTACTGCAGTTCTGTGTTGTCAATGTCTCCACCGCCCTCTGAGTCAGCTGTTCTTTGTCACTGCACTTAAAGCACTCCTGGTTCAAAGTAGTTCAACTTTTTAAACACTGTTGCTCTTGCCAACGTCAGTTCTTGATGACATCCAACTAAAACCAAAAGCAGCAGAAATTCTGATATCAGTCATGAGTCTTGATTATAAGGCCTGGATGAACGTAGATATATTTGATCCCAAAGACCAAAACGTTAAAGCCTATTCCACTGAAAATATGAGCTGTAAATATTCTCTTAATGATCAGTATGAACAGTAGAAAATCTGACATTAATGCAGTAATTCAACCAGATTTCCTTTAGGAATTTTTTGCTTGTCACAGCTGGACACAAACATGAAATTTCAAGTCAGACAAGCTCCACACCCAATAACCACAACCCTCAAACCATACATCAAACTGTCACCCTGGCATTGGATGTTGATTGCCAGTTATAAGACAATCAAGATTTGATGTAATTTCTAGGTGTATTTGCTGCCCAACCAGACTGCAGACACAAATGACTGTGATCAGAGTGCTGAGTAGGTGTGTTTGGGTTCATCTGTCTGGCCAATGGTGAGCTTACGGGGTTTGGTAGTCATGTTAAATGTCCCTGACATCTGAAACCTGAAGCTGACTGAAGAGACGCCAACAGACAGACAGTACAGCCAGATCCATGACAGACCGAATACCAGCCTGGTCATTAGAGTCAAACCCAGAACCTTATGACATCAGAGAGCTCAATGCCAAACTGAGATTGCTTTTAGCATGACAGTGTGGTTTTATTTTAAATCCAAACCTTAAACCAGAAAGTATCTAACAAATTCAATTTTAAAAGAGTATATTCCATATGACTTTTGTTTTATGTACTTTTTCTTTATAATGTTTTGTCTGGACTTTGGATTTTAAGCCTTTCAGCGAAAAGGAAGATTGTGATTGCTGTTTTATAAATTTCTAAACAGTGTGAATTTGAAAATGATCGACTTTGTGGGGAGTCTGGAATAAACTGTGCAAATACAAAATCTCTATAATTACTTTCCATGCTCCCCTGAAGCGACTAAATCAAAGAGACCGGTTTGAAATAATTTGCTATTTATCTAAATCCTAAATATTCAACATTTTTCCTTCATTTCAGAGTAAAGCATCAACAAGTGTTTTAGTGATTTGTTACAGCGGAAATGTGTTAATTGTATGTAGCGATGTGTTGACATCACAGCATTAAAAGCTTGGCTCTGGTGTGAAAGACTCCATCCTCCAAGTGTTGATATGCTCGAGTGATTGTGTGTGTACATGTGTTTGGGGAGAGTTTATACTGTGGCATTAGCCATTTGTTGGGCTCTGTCAGATCTTGAGCCAAAAAAACAATGTGTAGCAGTCAGTGAAACCAAATAGCAGGAACTGTTCAATTGACCCCAAACATAAGCTTTGGAGTTAAAAGAGAAAGAGTTAAGAAAACGTTATCCCTCTTCTTTAATGGAACGCACGTCTCTGTCGGATTTATGGTTGTGTGCGTTCATAGATAAAAATGACGTGAAATACAATTCCCAACACCAAGTTGCTACGTAACTGAGAGAGGTCAGGCGTTTCTTGTGAGGAGACGCGACTCCTCCAGAGACGTCCATTCATCAAGTGCTGCCAACACACTAAAAGTACAAAGGACAGCATATCCTCCGCTGGCTCCTTTTCCCTTTTTGTTCGTCTTTCTTGTCACTTCTTCTTTTAAACGCCCTCCACAGTTGCGTTTAACTTCTTTTAAATGGCCACAGCACAAAGAAACGCCTATATTTCTCTTTTTCTGAATGGCGAGTAGACTTTGTCGGCAGAAAGGCACGACTAACTCGTTCACTTTTCCGAGCTATGTTTCCATACCCCCTATAAATATTGCTTCCTACTATTTGTCAACCAAGCAAAATGAATAGAGGAAAAAGAACTGAAGGAATATGAGCTTTCATTCAACTGTCAGGTGCTCTCCGTCTGCCTTTCATTGAGGTGCATATAAAAGCACATTTAATGGGTCTCGAAGCTCATGTCGAGAAATGCCCTTCATCTACCCCAACCAAGCAGGTGGGGACCGGGCTTGCTCACATAAAACAGAAACAAATTACGCTCAGGATACTTGAAGTTCCAAGTACACCATAAAACATAATGTGTCATTAATGAAGTTGCCTTTTCTTGCCCTTTCTCTTTTTTGTTCATCACGATAGCAGCCGCGGAAATAGTCACCAGATCTGCTAAAACTTTATAGTCTGTGTGACCATGAATAATTTACTTTGATTGCACATAACGGAAAAATAAAAAGGTTTGTGGAGTTTTTCCTCCCCAGAAAGAGCAAAGAGAATTCATAATGGGGGAAGGTGACAAGACATCAAAGAGAAATTTTACAGATAGATAAGACGGTAAAAGAACAGTGACTTCAAAACATCGCCAGAGTTTCTCCACTTTGTTCTCTAACCCGCAGCTTTCTGTACTTGCTCACTTTATGTAGAGGGAGTCAGTCGTAAAAGAAGTTATTTTTCCATTCATTCAAAGTGGCATTTCAAAGCCTATACAGCCTTAAGAAGGAGCACACCATTTCACTCTAGACTGGTGTGAGAAAAAATCGATTACTGTCGGAACGAGATACATGGAGCTTCTCGATGTCCCGACATAATAACCATAAAACATCAAAGTGTTATACTAAAGATATAGATAATTAAACTGTTCTGTAGTTTTTTTTACAGCTATCTGTGGTATTACAGTTAATACTCGCACCTTTTATTTATCTCTGTACACAGTCAGGAAAGGACACAGTCCAATATTTATTGAATGGCTTTTCCCTGAGTCATGCTACATCCTTTCACTAACTACAACTTTAAAGAAGATCAGGAAGCTAACTTTTCTACAACCCTACAGACAACCAAACAACTGGAAACCACAACAAAAAACCTCCTCTGCTGAGGAAACAGAGGCCGAGCCACAGCTGGAAGTGACAGTGTGCAACACTGACAAAAAATAATAACTTGATTTTGGGGGGAATTTTGCCAACAACAAAAACTTGCAACTTCCAAAACTATGTGTGAAACAAAAAAATAAAACAAAATTATGTTTGTAAAAGTCCAGCTCACTTTTGTAAATAGCATGTTAGATGTTGTAAATGATACCAATAAAAACAACTTGTTAAACAAGTTGTCTTATTTATTAACTTAGATAGTAAAGAAACTGTAATATAAATATTTTGACATCCAAAAAAAGTAAAATAGTCATTGCAATCCTAAGAGTTTAGGGAATGTGTTTCAGCAGCTTTCTTATGAATTAAGAGATTCACATTTTTCTCAAGTTGTGAGACAAAAACACCAGCCTGTCCCAAACATCTAACTTTAGAGCAAAACAGCAACGTGTTACATTTCCTCGTTGCTAAAAGCCGTCTCAGGAGAGCTTCCTGAGGCAGGGATGCACAGGTACATTTTGACAAGTTTCTTCAGTCTGGAGAGGTTTACTTCATGTGTTTTCTACCCATCGAGAAAACAAACATGGCTCAACACCACTGGTATCATCAAGTCGGTTTTGGTCTCTTTTTCAGGCACGGTGTGCAGAAACTCTTCTGACCACATCTTCTTTGACCCTCTGTGTTGTCTTGAAAAATCTGTCTTCTTTTTTTGGCTTCTCTGTGGACTTGGTGCTCAGGTACTCCATTATGGGTTGTTTGATTGTTTTGGTAAGGGGTGTGGACTGGTTTTTCATCTTAAAGTGCATCCGTTAACTCAAACGAAGGGCAAGTACTTTGCTTACTGCTTCCACCCCTCTAAGGCCTGTACATTTTGTCTGCAAAAATCACCTGACGAATATTCTTGTCTTCCGCTTTAATTCTCCTTGTCATGCGCTCTCTTAAACCCGATCTCATTGGTGACACTATCGTCAGCATAAATGGGTGAACAAGATAAATGATATTCAAACACTTTGAGTAGTTAGAAAGACTGGGAATGTTCTGTTATTTTCTGTATTGATATTGCAAAGAAATCTTATGAGAGGACATGAGAAGTTGGTATTTCTAATATAAGGATTGTGTCCCGTAAAGCAAAAGACCCCAAAACTTTAAAATTACCAATAAGCCACAACCTGTTTAAGTTATTATAAGTCAGTCCCACAAAGATCAACTTACAGCAGTCAATACTGACACATGTTACAAATGTTATTAATCCACTGGTGAATACGGGTCCCTTCAAATGCAATATGTACGTTTTTATAGATATATTCTCTAAAACTACAATGCGCAGCTGCTTTTTGATTCAACTGAGTCATTAGCATATAATAAGAAATACTATAACATCCTAAATAAACACAAATTATCCTGCTGTTGAGCGCCAGATGCAAGCTGGGGAAGTTTGCAAACCTAAACCATATTTGTTTTGGTCTACACTCAGGTTTTGTTGGGCATAACAAAAGTATAGCATGTCCTCAGCCTTACAAATAAAATAAGAAATCAAACGATCAAAATCACATTTTCCCTCTTAATATGGAAAGCTGTGCAACATTGTGGTCTGAAATTCAATCAGATCATTCTTTGTAGGTAGAATTGTGAAACTTATTTTGGATGTATCACTTTCAGTGGATTTGGAGACATAAACTTAAAATGGAAAAACATAATAAAAAAAACATACTTCTACAGCAAAGGACTTCAGGAGTTAAGGTTTTTTCACAAGTAGAAAATGTGGTATTCTAACAACCATGAATCTTTTCAAGGAGTACTTCTTTCCCTCCTTTAAACATCCCAAGACTTGCACAGAGGGAGAAGAAATGGTTGATTTTGATGAAAGGTTCATTGAGCCGGTTTCCGGCAGACGTTGATCTTCAGCTCTATCACTTCACAGCAAAGACTCAGGGCTTTGTGAGCTTTCAAAGACACCTTGTCTGTTTTTCAGAGCCTGTCTTTCCCCCCTCGAAAACATTTCCTTATCTCTCGTCTGTCAAGTTCCATTTCTCCGTCTCACTTTATGTCAGCAAGACCAAGCCACTGCACGCTCAGTCTCCAGCACTTAAAAAAACCCACTGTCCATAAGAAACAAATCAGCCGTTTCCAAACTGCGTGCCTCTGCTCAGACAGATCAGACTTTAGATAACAGCAACAATATTAGTGGTTTGGATACAACACCTACACAATTTAGCTTGTTTTGACTCTGTTTGATCCTCTCGGATGGGTGATCATCACACTGTTTCTCCTCATACTGGGTTCAAATCACTCTTTAAGAATAGTGCACTCAGGGGACCAGACAATGGGTATTTTCCAGCGTATAGGAGCATGTGAAAATCTGGCATACATGCACCAGCTTCTTCTCTGCTGCAAAATTAAAGGTGAGGAGTCAAAGTTAAGGAAGTTTCCAAACACCGAAGAGACATTCAACACTCGCAGTGAAACATAAGAGCTCTGAGGGTGATGTCAGGGGCTTGAGTTGGTATCACCTGCCACCTGGAGAAAAACCCTCTGTAGATTTTAATCTCTGATTGGAAGGCGGGGAGCTCAGACCAAATCAAAAGACTTCCCTTATTTGTTGTTGCAGACAGTATCTTTGGAGAATCTGGGTATGACGGGCTTATGAGGGTGTGGAGCATGTTTTGTGCACGCTATTTGAGTCTGATCCTGCCCCTTGTTGCGAACGAGTGACAAATGTTTGGTAAAACACCAAACTAACATGATTCGTAGATCTGCTTTATGATGCGAAGAGACTGTTTTAAAACCATAAATCATCCAGGTGCAGCTTCACAGGAGAAATCCACTGAGATAGAAGTCACCTGACAGCGATATTATGATTAATAAAACTGCTGGTGAGGAAAAAAAATCCCTGGAAATAAAAGTAGCCTTTTATCTAAGCAGGTAGAGTGAATTGTCATCTCACAGTGCATCATTTTCTCCAACCTGTGGGCGGTTTTGTTTCCAAAGACAGATAAACCATGTTGTACTGATTATAGGGCCACTTTAAGAGAGTCACGCAACACTACAGCATGAAGTCCCAGAGGATGATTAGTCTGGCGGACTCAGTAAAGGAGCAGCAGTGAAATCCATTTGGAAACTCATGATGAAATATGTCACATTTTCTATATGTTGAACATGACTCTGCCAGAATACTAAGAAGTCAGGAAAAAAAGAGAAGTTGATTAGTATTTATAGGATTTTTATTGTGTAAATTGCTGCTCTCTCTGAACCAGCAGGACTCTGAGGTCAGGCATCAGCAATTATTTGAGACTGGGTTCAGAGGCTGTCCCAAGCTGGTGATCAGTTTAAAGGGATATTCCGGCGTAAGATTAAGTTAGGGTCAAACACTTCATAACACAGAGTTAGACACCCCCTCGAGAGATGAATGTTGCCGACCGCTTGCTTCTCTAGTTATACCAACTTTAGTAACGACCACAGGATAGCAATACACAGTGGTCTGAGGAGCCGTAAACAAACCTCAACCAAAACGCCACTCTATAGCCACAAATAATGCTCAGCACAGCACCTAACTTCATCAACAGTACATATAGAGTCCCAGCCATAGCACTAGCCACCAAACATCTTTTTAACTTTGCCTAATTTCTTTAGCAAAGAGACTAAACACAACTGACCAACTCTCTTCCAGCAGCTGCATGTTTGTAGCGAGACCTCAGGCCAGCCCATTACGCAGTCTGCAGTGCAAAATGATTAATATCGTGATTATGACTTCAAGGAAGTGATAAAGAAATGATCATAAATGTTCTTCCTTGAGCTGTGTCACCCCGCTGTAGTCCATAATGGACTGGCCTAAGGTCTCACTTACAAACAAGCGGCTGCTGGAAGAGAGACGGTGAGTTGTGTTTAGTCTCTTTGCTAAAGAAATCAGGCAAAGTTAAAAAGATGTTTGATGGCTAGTACTACGGCTGGGAACCAATATGTACTGTTGATGAAGTTAGGTGCTGTTCTGAGCATTATTTGTGACTATAGAGTGGCTTTTTGGTTGAGGGTTGTTTACGTCTCCTGAGACCGCTGTGTATTGCTATCCTGCGGTCATTACTTAAGTTGGTATAACTAGAGAAGCAAGCGGTCAGCAATATCCATCTCTCAAGGGGGTGTCTAACTCGGTGTTACAGTGAGTTTGAACCAAAATTAATTTTATGCCGGGATATCCCTTTAAGGGATAAACAGACCTCCATTCTGTCATATATTCTTCCCAAAAAGAGAGTGATCTGATAAAACATTTTGTCATCTCTGTGATAAAATGTGTTTGTAGAAACCGCTTTAGAGACCTGTAAAACCCTGCATTTCAGGGAAGCAGCCGCTATTTACAGTCTTTCAACGATTACCAGGAACTCAATTCAGGCTAGTATGAAATTGCAGAAAATATGCATGTGTGTGGCTGCTCTGAGGCAATTCAGCAGAATAAGAACCACAGACGAGTAGAAAATTGCCGCCCTATCTTCCAGAGGGCTTTGGCGAGCGCAGAACATTTCTCAGCTAAATTTGCAGAGCTGCAGATAATGTCACGATTAAAGGCAGATAAGTTAATCCACCCCAGCCTCTGATTCTTGACATTTCATGATATGAAGCGCAGGCCGCCTGAGGGCAGAATCGCATTTGTTTAAAGCCTGGGATGAGCAAAACACAGCTCGGATTCACAGGCTTTGAAACATCTTAATGAAGATGTCACACTTTCTTCTCTCATTGCTGAGCTCTCCGCAAAAGCTAATTAGCAACCATGACCTGATCTCACATTGACATTCTGCATTCACTCAAGCTGTTGACTGTGGCTCTTATCCTGACGGAGGTTTGATTTGTTTACCATGTTAATAAAGGTGCGCTGTGGCTGATGGATGCTCTGGAAACGGAACCAGACGCCGAAGTGTGGAGTTCACTTTGCACAATAACAACAACAACAACACGAGCAGCCCGCTGCTCATTCAATCACCAAAAACAACAATGCAAGCAAACATCCGCGCACTTCATTAGCATTTCAGAAATTGGGAGCTATATATAGAAGCGGATGATAAACAGGAAGCAGATTAATTGTGAATACAGTAAATAATGCAGCAAATCTGCGCTGAGATCAGGGGCCTAATTTAAGCACAGCTGAGAGGACACCTGTTGACAATTTTTGCAGTAATGGTCACTGTGATTTGAGGGGAATGAGTTGCTCAGAGGAAATACAAAGATACCTTTTCCATCATCTGTGTTACACTTATCTGAGGAATGTCTGCCTGTTTATTAAGAATATCAGGAAAAGTCGTCATCAGCGACAGAATCCAGACATACACCGCATTCCTTCATCAAACACTTCCTGTAAACAGCCAAGTGCTTCCTGCGTTGATACACTCACGACTGTATTGCCGCCCTCTTCACTGTTGTTGCCCCCGTCAGGGTTGCCAGGTCTCGCTCCACATCCTTAGATGTTTGAGAAAATAAGGCGGCCCCCACCGGCTTACACTCACGTCATGGCGCTCAGTCCACTGATACATTAGGAGGAAACACCATCTGTTACATTTTCATTGCAGGCTTTGCTTCAAGCTAAGACAATTAAAGCTAATAGAGTGCAAATGTTTGAGCCTGTGCTGCCAACTTTACAATGTCTCGCACGTTCTTATCCATGTCCAAAAGACATTTTAATGACTGGTAAATCCACAGTCATAAATTATTATCAATGGTAGCACCTGGATTCATTCTGGGTACAGCCTCAGTTTCAGTTCTGATGCTCACATTAACTGTTAATTTGAAATAACTCTGCAGGCAGTTATCCCCACATTGCTTTACAATCATTCCTGAATGTTAGACTTAATCGAATTTTGAATTACTCCTAACTACTAAGTGGGCTGGTAATGGTGCTATAACCCCCGCTATCTCTCATTATGTACAATTGGAAAGAATCGGTCATGCTTTCTGCAAGTGATCAGTGAGCACCTTTGAGAAAACGCTGTGAACAGATTCTTTTTACAGCGCTCGGGAGAATTATCTTTCGGCTAAAAAAAGGACAGGCTTGGATAAGCATCTTTAGCCGCAGGGGCTTGGCCACCCCTGAGGTGAGAGGATTGCTTCACATGAAGTGAAGGCTTCAAGTGCTGTGTGTAAAAATGGAAGCTGCTCTTGTTGTTGGATCTCAAGTGGGTGGCACAGACATGTTGCCCTCTGGGACCCGGGGCCTTTGGGAGACAATGGACAGGCTGTGTGAAGCGGGAGCTTCGGAGTCCAGGGTCACAGGGCCCCTCTTCTCAGGTCTACACCGTTAAAGCGACTGTTTAGTGACAACAGAGAGAAAAAGGGGTTTGTGGAAGGGTTGTGTGAAGTGGGGGGTTTGTATCTGGAGGTTGTGTCCAAAGGCGGTCCATTCATCATGTGTCATTGCGGCTCTGAGATCCTTGAGCTCACAGAGAAACTAGTCCATATCTACAGAGTCCTAAAAAACACCAAACTTGAAGATTATTAAATCAACAGATTAAATTGTCTCCATGACGTTACTGTGTTGGATATCTTCGTTTAATGGAAGGATTATTAGACCAGACCTATAGACTCTTTGCTCTAGAGCTAAGTGGAAAATGTCGTAATAGGGTGGGGTTCAATGCTTCCTTCTTATATTATGTATGCGGAGCTTAACGTACAAAATTTATGGTCCTCCTCCAACAATTTCTTCTCAAGAGGGGATGTAGAAACTTGTTGCATTGATGTTGCTCAATGGCTTCATGCGATAAGAAAACTTGTTGTGCCAGATTACAGTTCTCACAATTCACTGCGAGAAATGCAACCTTTCCTGTTTATTGTGTGATAAACAAATCAAATAAATAATTTGTCTTATTTTACAGCCGCGCAGGGTGGTGGTTTTCTCGCGGCTTTTGTTCATGGAAAGAATAAAATCTATAAGCAACTTAATAAAACAAATGACTTCAGGGGGAGTCGGAACAAACAGTTCGAGTGATGTGATCGGGGGCAGAGCCTGATAAGTTTTTTCCTGCGGTTACTCCCAGTGTCACGGACCAAGACTTCAAACAGCAGGAATGATTTAAACTATACCTTGAGCGAGACGGAGGCTGCCAGAGCCACAGTCGGTGAAGAATAGTGCGAGGAAGAAAGGTTGGTACAGCTGGCGGAGATACAAAAGCAGGAAAGCATGAACCTCATCTCACACCTTCCCTTCTTTCATCTACTTCCCCTAATAAGCTGGTATTTTGATTCCTGGACTCCTGGCAGGCTGCCCTGTTTGCAATTCAAAGACTTTTCAACAAGAGCATCTGTTTGGGTATTATCATAAACCTGCATGCATCCCCCCACTCTTCACCTCCTTGCTCCCTCCTTTTCCTCCCTCCCTCCTCCTCCTCCCTCCCTTTGCTACCTCTTTCTGCCTCCGTCCTCAGCCGTGTGCACTTGCATGTCTCTGGAAAAGGGGTGGAGAAGAGGGGTGGGGGGGCTTTTCCGTGACCCACAGAGTCAATGATACATAAGCCACATGACCAACTGGACTCACACACACACAGGGACACACACGCAGACAGACAGGCAGACCTGCAAGCGGACTTCCAGCAGCACATTCACAGCTCCACTGAACTTGGCTCTCGCTGCTTTTTTCTCTGACAGAAGAAAAGGAGACACACACACACACCTCTGTGGGAGAGCTTAGATAAAGACGTGCCTTCAGTCTTAGAGTGGCGCTGTCACACACTGATATACAAATACGCATTTAGACAAATACACAGGCACAGTCAGGGAGCCACCGTACACACACATATTCCCACAAATTGACACACTCACTTCTAACACACACATACACACACACACACACACACAGGGGAGCAAACAGTCTCTCTCTCCTTCTTGCTCGCTCAGCTGCTCTCTCTCCCCCTCTCTTCCTCTCTCTCTCTGTCTCTCTCTCCCTCCCATCCACACACACACACACACATACATACACACACACACACACACACAAACACACACACACACACAGCACTACAGTATATCAGCGAGTGACTAGCGGAGAGCCAGAGGGGAGTGCAGAAATGAATGTGAAGATCCTGACGCTGGTGATTGTGCTCTTGGTGTCTCTGCTGTGTTCTGCCAGTGCTGGTGAGTACAGGAGCGGCCAGCCTCGTCGCCGGTCCTCTTTCTCTCCGCTTTTCATTTCTCTCTCTGTTTGCCTGTTTGGCTCGTGCAGGCAGCTGTAGTTGATCAGTTACCCAGCATGGTTAGCCTTGTGTGGGCTCTAAAAGGCAGGAATATCAGCACCTGGCTATATACAGCACTGCACTGCAGTGGTTATACTGTTAAGCTATTGTACTGCCTTTGCTATTATGCTGAACTTGAATGTGTTTCTTGCTTAGATTGATCATTTTCCATCCTGCCTCACCTTGATGTAAGCTTGTAAGACTCAGAGATGAAATATTAGCAGGTTTTTGTTGTGGAGCTATTCCTGAGTGATGGGTATGCTGGATGTATGTGTGACTGTTGTGGCTGTTATGAAATGTAAGATATGCATGGCACATGTTCTGCAAGGTGGAGTGAATCTGATTAATTTATGGCTTCATGTATTCCATCTGACCTGAGTGCTATATGATTATTACATGACAGTGATTGTGCAGCAGGGCAACACAGCACCTATATGTGCGTGCATGCCTCCTGTGGTGATGGTAATGAGGACTGTAATTGTTGTACACATCAATGGGAAGAACACAAATCCAAGATTCATAGATGGTCTCCTGTGGGGCTCACTCTTGATGTGTTGTCACAGTAAATTTCCGTAAAGTGCTGCTGCATCTCAGGAGCCATTGTTGGGCTGGTTATCGGATCTAGTTTGGACCTAAAACCTCTAACATTTAGAGCAAATTCGCAGACTTGGGACAATTCTAGAGGGGCAGGGCGAATTCTCTCTGGTGGCTCATGGGAGTGAAAGGGTTCAGAGAAATGTGGCTGGGGGTTTGAGTTTGGAAAGCGATGGGCAGTCTGCAGATGTAATGCAGGTAACATCGTGGTGTGAAACAACAACAGTTAGGCCTGTGTAAATGTCTGGACCAGTCTTTGGATTATCACCTACCCACCAACTACAGAAGCTCAGAAGACACACACACACAGAGAAGCTCTGCTTCTGTTTAATCTAAGTTGAAGAGACTCAGCTGTATAAAGAGATTGTAAGATGTAGCTAAAACCGGAATTTTGCAAGGCTATACAAACAACACCAAGGAAGACAGGGGGATAATGTGTAAGATGCTGTGAGGCTATATGTTGCTAGGTGCTGAATAGATGCTGTGAAGACTTTCGGCTTGAAAGATGCTGTCCACTCTGTGTATCGATCCATGGCCACAGTACTCACAGTTCCCATGCTTCCCAGCACATTCCCCTCGGCGACATGCTATTTTTGTCTGTGGCTCTCAGCACATGAGTAAATGGGAAGCAATTATCTAGCATCATGGTCAGTGTCGTTTTTCACGCCCTGCGTGTGGCTAAGCATGTTCCACGCCTGAGAGCCCACCGTGCTACACCAGCGATGGGGAAAACAAGGCTGCCATGCCTCGGGGCTTTCATAGGAGCTTATCCTCCTCAACGCTGTTCAAGTCACGCCGCTTATGATCCTCTCTGTCCCCTGGCTGCTACTGTAGTATGAGCACTCCATTGACAGAGAGGAAGGGAGGGAAAGGGAAGAGGAGATGCAAGTGTGTTGCGGCGTTGATGATGGGTGTGGGGAGGGATGCTAGCTGGAGTGTGTCTGCGTAGCCTCTGCTACAGTATGCGCTGTCGCGGGAAGGTGTCGGAAGAGGCTCTGCATGTAGGCAGTGGGTGTGAAGCCTTTCATCTTGAGACAAACGCTTTTCCAGTTCAGTGGGCTTCTTCTCTCTCGCTCAGGCATCTGTGTGTGTACATGTGTGTCTGAGAATGAAGAGAGGGATGCACAGAGAGTGAGACAGAGAGAGCATGTGCACTTGCAGGAAGCGGTGAATATTGGACTGAATCTGACGGGTATACAGTAGGGTGGGGAAGTGTGAGTCTTGATTGTATTTACGGATGTATGGATGCATTTGCATACTAGCGAGACCTCCAAGTGCAACAGGCATTTCACTTGAATAGCTGCTGATAATATTTGCTCAGTACACTAAAAGAGCTGCTGAGGCTTTCTCTGTGTAATATTAGCATCCTTTAGCAGCGCACTTCAATTACCCATCCTTGAAAAGCACTCTGGCTGAAGAGTGGGCTCCAGCTTTAGACATGTGGTATCCATAATTCATCCCAAGGCCGATCACTCTCCTTTCTCTCTGTGTAACTCTTCAGACTGGTTTATAAACAGTCCTTATTCTCAAAACATTCTTGTGTCAGTCACGGCCGTTTAAGAGGACTTCAAAGCTTCATTTCATTTTCTTTTACCATTGAAACACCCTGCCAGTCTCCACCCAGGGACGTACATGACAAAAAACAAAAGCAGCTGGCTTATACACACACACACACACGCAGAAACACACATGTATTTGGCTGCACGTAAACGTAGGAGGTGTAACTGTGAGGCCTGCGTTGAACAGGTGAGCTGAGGTGTAAGTTAGCGGCGCACGAGGCCCAGATCTGAGACGTTATCTGGCAAAGAGATCTTCTGCTTAGAGGGGGGATTTTATGAGAGCTGTCAGCAGTGCTATTATTCCATATTAAACTTTGATGTATTGTTGGGGCTGTCTGCTCTGTGGCACCACCATGCATACACACTGTAATGAGGCCCGACTTGCTCAGATGCTCTTCCAAGTATTACAAGTCCAAGTCGAGCCAAAGAGAGGAGGCTGCATCACATGAGACACCTAGAGGCATAAACACCGCCCTGGTCGGTTTGATTGTTTTGTTAACAACATCAGAAGGTCCAAACTACCCGTAACCAGGAAGCTTTAAATCATAATCCTCGGTCTTCCGATGTATAGAAGGTGTCCCTGCTTGTGAACATGATTACGCTGGCAGTGGAGAGAACAAAAGCAGTTAAACTTTCCCAGATGTCCCTGCATAACATAATAACAGTGGGCAAACAGTTGTGTCAAAGGGGGAGCAGTAGAAAGGTGATTATGGGATTATTGGAGGATTGCTGAGCCTTTTCCTTTTTCTTTTTTCCTTTAAGACATAGGAGCTTGAGAGCACCAGCTGGGTTTATGTCACACAAACACACCACAAGCACACACACACATATATGTGCACAGGGTCAGATGAAAACCTTTTCATGAAGAACCTGGATTTCCTCTTCATGCAGTATTGCGAGGAAACAGAGCCAGCAGCCTGCAGCAACAGTGTAGCTCTGCAGACAATAAACACACACACACACACACATACACACACTCATTTATCACTCAAACACACTCTACAGAATCCATAATTGTGTTTGGGAATTAAGTAAAGAGGGATTTGTGGGCCTCCTTAGTTGGTGTTGCACTTGTTAAGCTTGTGTTTGCAGATAATGTCGTGTTACAACCCTGGTTTGTAGGACGCAGACAGACTTTTAAATGTTGCATGGTTTCAGCTTTTGTTATTGCAAAATATAAGATGATATAAAGTTTTTATCTTTTACCTCACCGTTACCACTTAAGTAGACAGCATTTACACTCTTCTGGTTGTACTGTGCCAAAAAACACAATCAAAGCGTCATCATGTGCTGACAAACTGGTTATGGGAGCTTTCCAAATATATCTGATATAAGTCTGATGTTGAGTTGGCTTATTGTAAGGGAAAACCACGCTGTTGGTATGGAGGCTCTTGTTAGGATTCAGCCTCTGGTTTTTGGTTGCAGGGGTGTTTTGTTTTTTGATGTTTGTTGTTGTGCTGGTTGGGTTTTCTTGAAGTTTGGGTTCTTGAGATTCATTGTATGGGTTTGTGTTTGGTCTTATATGCTTTGTTCCTATATATAATCATGCTTCTGTCCCAAAACACTTTGTAAAGCCTTGTTTTTTTATAGGGTTAGGGTTAGAGTTAGGTGAGTTTGTAGTGGGGGAACCATTGTGTCCTACATGTGTAAGATTGTTCCTAGGTTGGAGAGCGCTGATTTTTCTAGTTGTGCATTTTTACATCAAGTAGATAAATTTTTTATTTTGTCAATTAAATTGATGTCATGTTATTCAATGTTTAACATTTGATTTGACTGCACAGTTGGACACTAATCGTAAATTGGTGCTCTACAAACAAAGATGGTCAACTTTTGATGTTTTCTAATGAGCTCTTAAAATAGATATGGTTTGCACTAAAATACAGATTTTGACACAATCTTTTATCAAGTTCTCAATATAAAAAACTGTAAATATGAGGATTATATCTTTAAAAAGGAAGCAACTCGGCCCTCTTGTGCGGTGAATCTTCTTTTCTGTCCATTTAAATGTAACATCATTGAGAAACATAATCATATAAATGGCTGTTTAACTTTTTTTGTTAAATCTTTACAAGATGTGGTAAAAATGGTCACTTTGAGTGAGATTTTCTGTGATGAGCCACTTCCCATCTGTATAGTATTACCCAACATGAGCTCTTTGACTGGCACCTACAATGCTATGAAGTGGGAGGGAGTTGCGGAAGAGATTTAGTGAAAAATCATAACTCATTTGGTAGGGATATAAGGCTAACCTTTAGGCTAACACTCCCAGGAGAGCTCGGCTGCTGGAAGACTTTGGCATATGTGACCGCTGGGCTGCTGTAATGTAATTCAGAACTCTTTGAATGAATAAATCTACTCACTTAGATCCTCCCATGAGAGCAAATGCAGTGAAGGGAGAAAAAAAAGAAGCAAAGGAAAAGTAAAAGTCGGGCTAAGAGGACAGAAAAATGAAAGGGCTGACAGGAAGAGAGGCTATCTAGGAGACGAGAGGTTAAAAAAGTGGTGCTGGTGGTCCAGTCTATCTTTATAAACTCAAATTCTGAATAATGACATGTTCGTGTCTTTTAAAGAAGTTTGTTTGACTAAATGTGCTTAATTACTTGTCAATGAAGATCTGACCCTACTCTGATTCCTTTGTTGCGATCAAGACCCCCCTTCAAGTTTTAAGGGCACAACCTTAGGTTTTGGGGAGGGGGGTTTTGGGGGTATGAAGCGGGGGTCCTGTGTTAACCAGACCTCATGTGATCGCCAGACCCTATCCTCAGGCCCGGGGCGCTCCTTACAACTTAATTAGAGCCAGATATTTCCAAAAACCTGCTCTGTTTTTCACCAGAGTCCAATATTAAAGTGATTTATGGCTCTCTTTTTGAACATTAAGTGTTACATTTATTGTGGTAGCGATGGCGGATCAAATTTCTGATTAAGATCTAAATGGACATTTTTATTAACAGCCTGCCAGACCGCAGAATAAAAACTGCGGTCTCTAAAAATGCAGGTACTTTAATTACTTTCACGCTCAATTTGTAGAACAGAAGAATGAGAAAATATGACGGTAGCTGCAGAAGTATGCAGGAGGAGTGAGTTTGTTTGAGAATTATATAAACACGGAGGAGAGAATAGTCACTATTAACGCCAAGCCTCCACAGGCGCCATCATGGATCACGGATGTAATAAATGTGTGGCTGAGAGCGCCGCACAGCTGGCTGATGTTAGGCGGCTCAGTCAGACGAGGGATTTCACTGCGAAGATGTCAGAATGGATTGGGGCTATCATGGATGCTGTGGAGGGACTTAGTAGATCTCAGGTTCATTTTGTGACACTCCCACTGGGATCTGACTAAATCCAAAGCCTTAGGCAAAAGGATGTTCATGTCACTTTCTTCTCACAGAAATACAGGATGTTGTGGTGCATATAATGTGGTGTAAAACTCTCTTTCACCCTCATGTTCTCACCTTCAACAAAGCATATGAAAACTGTGCAAACACTTCCACTGGGCTCCTTATGTGACAACACAGAAATCATTCATTTATGAAACCATGAATTATTCATCATAATTGCTCTCTTTGATCACAAATGGAGTTTTCCCTGGGAGATAGTGTCACACACATATGTCTGCACTTAAACGTCGGTCGATGAAGGGATCTGCCACTCACTGTAAGCATGGATCCCTCCCTGGTTCAGCACTGGGCCCCTTACCTCTTCCCTCTGTCTCACACACTGATCACGAGAGGCTGCCTTGCTCTCGGGGCCCCTGAACATGAACAGATGTTTGCAGAAATACAAGGGCTAAACAATATTTGGAATTCATAAACATGTATCTACATCAGGCAAACAGTTCCTCTAAACAGCCGATGAAAACCTCGTAAACACAGAGGGGCAATAAACAGTGAACTTCAGCTCACCTGCAGCTCAGCAGCTAAACACGCCGGTAAAAAAACATCATGAATTTTATTTCTTTGCTAAATCTATACATCACTGTCACTTAAAATGTTTTATAGCTTTTACTACGGCAAGAGGCACCTTTCCTACCCATTGTATACTCAGTAAACATTTGTAGCTGCGAGAATTTATTTACTTTGTAAAATCCAAAATCCATCAAAGACAGGCCATCTGAGGCCTCTGGTGACTCAAATCAACAAAAACTCCCTATGAGTTAAACCGTCATACATTTATACCATTACTATCAATAAATATCAGATCTGAACTTGCAAAAAAAGGCAATTTAGATGCTCTTTGGCTTTTTTCCATGTGTATTTTAAAATAGTCTGCGGGTAATGCTTCTTTGTATGAAGAGTTAAAGTGTCAAGAATGTCAGAGCTATTGTTTTGAATCCTTTAGTGCGGTTGAGACCCAACACAATCTGATGCAATGTTGCTACTTTTATAGTACTGTTTGTGCTACGGGAGAAGTGATGGTCCCCTCAGGCATTAAAAGCTGCAGTGAACCCTGCGCAGTGACGTTTCTCTCCCTCTTTCCGTCTCCCTTTTTCTCCCACACCTCAGATGGGAGAGAGCATGCAGGTTCACAGCAGGGAGGTTGATGACACAGGAGAGGGAGGGGGCAGTGTTTCACATCTGATAAGCGTGCCCATGGAAACGGATGGTTGGAGGATCCCTTTGCCCTTGACATGCAATCTCTAGAGATCAGGGCAACGGTTGGTAGCTTCACCTACCGTGTGTACCTGACATGCGCAGATATTTAGCCCCACTGCTATTAACGGGAACAGCCACACCAGCATCTCTCCTGCTCCTGCCCTCAGCTGTTTGCAGGAAAAACAGAAAGAAATCTCCCTTTAGACTTGTTTATAATCGCCACTCTTAACTGCTCATGCTCAGTAGGCTCGAACCTGCAGTAACCTTGTAGCCACAAATTCACCCCTTCAACTGGAGAGGGATTGTGAGTTAGGCGACATGCAATCAAGTGGTGAGGGGAGTCAGTGGCTTCATTAGCTGCAGCCGGCCCTTTGAACTCACAGCGCTCTGATCATAGCGGCGAACACAGTCTCACACCTCATCATTTCATACACTCTTTAATTCAGGAGCAGAGACAGCAGCAGCAGCACCACACTGCAAAGGGGGGCCGGCTGACTCAAAAGGACATCTGCATAAAGCCAGAGACTAAGGGGTGCAGAGTTTGGTTTTAATTTGATCTGAACCTTCAGAGAGGATGAGGGGCTTTTTTTCAAACGAGGATTACGTTTAAAAACTGCAGTCATGGGAGCAACTTTTCATGCACTTTGGTCCCCTCACTACAGTCTGTGTAGACAAAGACAGCCTTTAACAAAGCCACAAGCCGAGCATTACCACAAACCAACAATGCTGCATATCAAACAGCCCCAGACAGAAATAAAAGATAGAGTTCACAACCAAAACAAACCCCCCCATGAGAGGAACACTCAGAGGCCAAGAGCCCACGGAGGAGGGGAAAAACATCAGACACACTCAGACGGCTGAATTCAGACCGTGTGCAGAGAAATTTGTAAATTGAGAACCTGCTCGATATCAGCTGACAATGTCATTCTTTTGCTCTAAACTGAGCGCCTTTCATGGTGGCTGCCATGGTAACGTGGTCTGAAAGTCGGCAAGCAATTGGTACCAGTTTCTGCCAAGGCCCAGACTTACTGGTAGGCATGCGATAAGCAGCATTTCCGACATTAAATGCTGTATTGTGTGAGCTGAACAACAAGGGACTGCCTCATTGTTTCAGCATCATTCCATATGTGCAGGATGAATGTGTGGACAGGCGAGCAAATCCCAGCATGATGCTGCAGCACTGCTGGGATTTAGGACTTATTCTGCGTTCGAGGAATGTTTGGCTTTTACCTGCCACATTTAACATCCCTCACTCTTGGCTAAATAGTCCTGATCTCCTAATGTGCTTATGCAGCAGGAAGCATCTCTGCCCGTGACATGTCTCTGTCTGGCTGTGTGGGTTAGTGTGTCTGTGGTAATGGCATGCTATAGAGGGATCGTTAGCCAAAGCTGCTTTAGGTGAATGAAGGAGGGAGGCACACGATGGAGACAGCAGGCCTGCTCCTCCAACGTCATGGTAATAACCATGGCTACACACACCAGGGTATTTATTCTTCCTCTCATCTTCTCACACAAATATTTTCCTCTTTCCCATAAGGGTTGTACACACACACGTAATGAGCTAAACCGCCTCTGTTTAAGACACAGAAATGCTTTCTCTTACTGTGCATGCCAAGAGGATATAATAAGGGTTAATTTTGCAGGCTGATATCCAATCACTAATTAAATAGGCTGATCTTGTTCAGGAAATGCTTCCAGTATTAATAGGGATCAAAATACGAAGCTATGGATCATAATTACTAAAGCACCCTAATGTAAGCTGGGCGATTTTCACAGGTTAAGATTGAGGCCCTGTGTGATTGAGAGGAAGTCTGGACTCATTTGCCAGAGTAAATATAATATGAACAGACAGATCCGTCTTCTCTGAGGAGCTTGATGGTAAAAAGTTAAGCAGAATCATACTCACAGGCACATAGGGTCACTCCATTTCTGTCTTTTCAATACCAAACAATTCCCATTGTCCCAGCTGTTTGTTCACACATCAAAATACATTGAAACAAACGCCACAGGGAAAGATATGTGACACAGAGGTGTCAGATAAGAGAAGCAGGAACGACAAAGGAAACAGCAGAGGGATGAAATGTTTTGAGCCAACCAAGAAAACGGATCAATGACATTGCGCACAATTGATTCATAATCAGTGTGACTGTGAGTGATGAGCAAGACAAGTAAACAAACAGACAAGATTCGAGAGGACAGCAAATCAATTTGCAGTGACACAGAGGAAATTAAACACAGCAAGGATTAAATTTGGGTGGCCATGCTTGACTGTGTTTGTTTATATCCAATGCTACAGTTTTTAAACCATGAACACTGTGCGAAACTTGTTGCTTTCTCTTGATTCACAGGCTAGTATAACTTGACCCTTCATGTCCTAGTAGCATAAAAATCATTATGCAGTGGCTGCATTTACAAGTGCAGACATTTGTTATGTGGCAGATTTGGCAGGCGATGCACACAAATCAGCTTTACAGCCCGTAATAAGCAGCTCTGGCCTATTTGCAATGCTGTCTGTGTTCTTGCATTGACACAGAGTGTTGTGATATACAGTGTACTCCTGCCAGCCATGAGGGCAGCTGATGAACTTGGCATTTAACCAGAGGACAGCCATTCCTCTTCTCTGACTAGACGGACAAGTGCTGGGAGATGTATGTCTCTCCAGGCTCCACTGATGGACTCTCAGAATCAACAGGGATAAGCTGTCAGTATCCCACTTTCAGTCGGGCCTTAAAAAGACTGAGAGCCAGCCATTTAAAAAGACAACATAACAGATATCTCCTTAGGAGGCGGTGGGGAAACTGGGGCGGGAAATTAGGGGGCAGCCAACCAGGCATCCATCATTCGTCTGTACACAGGCCAGGTTGTGAAACTGTCAAATACTCTGCTGTGTGCCTGACCAGTTCTACCTCTTATCCTCTACCCAGGGGTTTGGTGTTTTGGGAGCAACATTGAGCTTTTTCAATCATTCTCAAGTCTTTGGTACCAAAAATACAAGCACAGACTCAATAATTGTAGTCTGGGTGGACTCCTGTCCTCATGATGTGAAGGATGCTATTCTTATGCAGCTCTCCGAGGCTGTTTTTTATTTTTCATTTTTATTTGCGACATCAAAACCCTTCCATTTATCCAGGACCTGATGCAAGAGTGAGGTTGCAACCCTCGTGTAATGGACAAACCTTAAAAAGGCATGTGCGTTACAGACAAAGGGTTTTCATCAAAAATACCCCCTTTTTCTCTTGGCTCATGTCAGCCAATCCAACTTTCCTCTACTCCGGTTAGTAATAGATCAGAGTTGAATAACAAATAATGCAAACTTAATTTAATTCAAATATTAATGACCAAAAAATACAACAATTAGAATATAGGGTAAGTGTATATTAAAAATCAAGCTGTTTTCAAGGGTTTTATTGTAGCTTTTGCCTCTGTCCATGCTTGACAGTTAATGGTTTGTTGGAACGATGCAACACTCTTCTTCTCCTCTTTTCTTTAAGGCATTTGCAATGCAGGCAACAGCAACAGCATTAACCAGACATTCCTGAAATTCCCCCTTTATTAAACTTTAATGAGGGAATTACCTCAAGGGGGAAGAAGTGTTGAGATTTGGTGGAAAGGGGGCAAAACTGGGGCTTGAAGGTCATCAGTAGTAGAGATAAGACACTGATTATTGCTTAACATGTGTTTTCCTGCTATGTTACTGTGTTACCGATGGAACATAAACATGGGAACATCTCATGGGAGAAGATCAAATAGGATACTGCAGAGGATGGATCCAATTTCAGAGCAATAAGATCACTGAGATATCTTTGTTTATGGAGCTGAAATACACATTATTCATTATTAGACCTGCAACGGAAACAATCCATAGGTTTTATAGTAATGCAACAGATGCTGCTACTCTTCGAGTCGAGCAGGTCCACTACAGATGGCGGCACAAAGCTAGCTGTTGCTGTATGTCATATCCGTCACACAGAGATACTCCTCTACAGGCTGTAGGAGTTAATCTATACTGCGAGTGTTATCACTGGGGTCCAGCTTATTTTTAGCAGCTTTCATTACACTTTTCTATCCTGTAGCCAGATTGGATGGGTTGAGATTTGTCAGGAGAATCACGAGACGGTCTCCCTTCAAACCCCAGTGCAGAGCAGTGGCTGACAGCTAGCTATGGCAGGAGACATCTAAATTGTCTCATTATGGACAGCCTGAGCCACCCGCAGAGGAGCGCCAGATGAGTTGTGTGAGCTGGGGTACAATTACTTTACCATCATGCATTGCAGCAAGCGCGTGTGTGTGTGTGTGTGTAGGTGGTTTTTTGTGCATGCAGGGCAACTCCTTACATGTGGTTGCAGCACCTTTTGGACTTAGCCATCACTCATCCTCGGCAGCAGTTAGGTATTATGTAGCACTGTAGTAACTGCGGTTACTGTGAGACATTTAAGGTGTCAGTATGCTTAAGATAAGTGCTTGTCAAATGTTTGAGATGGAGTTTAGTGTCTGAAAGCCCCTCTACCACATCTTTCCACAGTCTGACAGTCTATGGACACTGTTATCAAACAATCTCGCTCTGATTGAGCAGTAATCAGTTTGTAGAGTTGGGAAATGGTCTCAAATCTTTCGAGCTCCTTGTTCATGCATCCATTATCCTGTGGAACTTAAAATAGATTCAAGAAGATACCGGAAACACTTTACTTGACGCCTATCTCTATAACGAATTATAAATATATGTATAATGCGTTATAATCACATTATAGCACTGTATAACTATAGCTATAAACACTCATTAATGATCATAATGCTTTATAGCAATAATCATAACATATTATAAAGAATCTTATCATGACTCACAAGGTCAGGTGTTATTATATGTTGGAAGTTTTAACGACTCACTGACAATGCCCACATAGATAATGCATTATACATATATTTATGATGTGTTATAATTTGCTTATAAACTTGTACAACTATCATTATAAACACTTATTAATCATAATAAGGCTTTATAACGATAAGCATAACACATTACAATAATGCTTTATAATGTGTTATGATTATTGCTATAAAGCATTATGATCATTTATGAGTGTTTATAACTATGGTTATACAGTGCTATAATGTGATTATAACGCATTATACATATATTTATAATGCATTGTAGAGATAGGCGTCAAGTAAAGTGTTACCAAGATACCAATCAAATCTGAATTTGTATCCTACTAAAAACAATTCCCTGTTGTACGTTATCAGATAAAACTTAGTGTAAAGTTTGTATCAGGCATAGTGACGACTTAATAATAAAGACTGCAGCCTTATGTTTCAGTGTGTTCAGTTCTTAAGGTGTTATGAGAAGCAGGGCTTCCCAAAAATCTACTGGAAGCAAGAGTGTAATAACATCGAACCCCCTGGCTTTGAAAAACATGAGTTGAACGCCTCAAAAATGTGTCAATGTCCTTCATTCACTGCGTATCTGGAACAATAACAAAAGGGTAATACGCAGATTAGTCCTCCTAGGGGCAAAGATGGGCTTTAGATGCGGAAATATGCAACAGAGACTTTCCTGCTGCAAATGAATTAGCCTACTGTTCACCCACAAATATACTGTGTAATGTGCTTGCGGAAGAAGATTAGTGTGGAAATGGAACTTGAGATGTCTGGCGTTTTAGGGATAGACATCGAAAATATTCAACAAGCCGTCTAGCTCTGCCTTGTAGTTCTCTATTATTTAAGCCTGAAGGCTACAAATCCATTTTTTCTCACCCTTTTCTATGAAAAGTTGTTCTTTTGAAAATGTCTTCAATATGCCACAGCTGAAGGTCAACAATTGCCTTCTTTCTAATGGCATTTTGAATTCTGCTCTTGAAGAAAGCTGCCCTCTATTCAGCCAAATTGATCTTGCCTTTTAGTGCCAGCTGAGTGTTTTGAACGCAGTAGACAGGTTTCGAGTTTTAACATTTCAATCAGGCGACATTCTCAGGAGCACAGCTGTGTCTTGTTCATGTAACAGCCCTTGGTATCACCATTCTGCCTCATCTAAATACACAGACCGATGAAAAGAATTTAAAGGAACCAAGGCACCTAGTATCATCGTGGCTTTTGTAAGCTGCTCATCTGCTGTCCTCAGTCAAGTGTCTGCTTTCACAAACCTCTGCAGCCAGCTGGATGACTTAAGCAGTGTCCTAACATAAACCAAAGAAGGTTATTATGCCCAGGAACTCTAAAAATGGTGCTGGTGTCTTAGTGCAGAGGAGACAGGAATGTCGTGACCCTTTGTGAGTAATGCCAGTCAGCTTTTTGATGGGAAATGGCTCGCAGGCATTTGTAGCTTCAGAGCCAAAAAGGCTTGTTTGGCTCTGTATACGGCTTACAATGCAAATAGATCAAAAGAGATAATATTAACTTCAAAAAGAAGAGAGGCGTGTTTTAAATGGTTTCTTTTAAAAGGCTTTCAATATATAAGCCTGCAAAATCAGACATTTAACAGTCTTCCTTCGTACTGTAGTGAGTTTTCGTGCATGCTTTTAGAGTTTCACCTATACCTTAGACTCTAGTTACTTAATGTTGATGGTTACCTTGTTTTCTTGGGTTTATTTTGAATGTTATGAAAGTCAAGTCCCCATACAAATACATCTAACGGCTTAACTGCATTAAAAGTCAATAAGATGAAGGTTTAGTGACATTTCTTGGAATTTAAAAATCAACCCCCTTACATCTGTTACATATTCTTCATCCTCACCGAGGCATTTACCTTTTCTACGTGCTGAAATGAAGAGTACAGCTCTGCTTTTACTTACATTTTATTGGACTGTATAACTGGCTGTAATGTGAAAGATCACTCTCGTTAAATGTGCCATTAAGAGTTAAGGTACAACTGCAAAAACATTTTTTAATAGAACATGTGGATCTCCAAGAGGAGGTCTTTCAGGAACCAAAAGGTTGAAAGGTCATAGACACACTATAGGTGGACCAAACCATTTGGAAAAGAGGGGCTTAAGGGGATCAGGCCTCACTTATTGAGAGATGACTGAGAACATCTGGGATCACTCTCAAACACACGTGCACTCGCACACACCTTAAACATTCATGCACGGTCTCTAAAATACACAAAGCTATTCTCCTCATCTCTAATCTTGGATCAAACACTGCGACAGGATGCATCGCACCGAAAATGTCAAGCAGAGTTTGTAATCTTTAGGAAGAGTGACAGAGACATGAGACACAAGGGTTTGGCGCTGTCTATCAGCTGCTCTATGGTTACGGGATGTTGGATTAATGAACTACAATACTGGGTGGGCTCACAGAGGCCCACACACAAACTTATCTATACATGTCTCCTCTGTCCTCATCATTTACCTCTATGATTCCTGCAGCACATGTCAGCGCTGATAAACGTTAAATTGTGACACTCTGAGTGAAAAGTGAAGAGGCCATTTTTGGGAACGTAACCGGTCTCTCTATTTTCTGTGTCCTCCAGGTCCCATGGCCTCCACGGAGCATGGCAGAGAGCTAGAAGATGCGCCCACAGTGAGAAAAATGGTCCAGCAAAACCCTGCAAGGGGTGGTCAGACCCACAGACCGGCTGGTTGGAAGAGGAGACGCCCACGGCCACGTCTTTCCCACAAGGGGCCCATGCCGTTCTAGAGCAAGGTGAGTTTCTGGGAGTCTTGGGCAAAATTATGCTTGTTAGGTTTTGCTTGGCAGAGCATGCCATCAAAGCTGCCAAAAAAACAGTTGGTACCAAACCGTGAAAGGCTTCACTTCTCTATGTTTATATCTTCGCTCTGCTTTTGGACCAGCTTTCTGTCAAATCAGACCTGCGTGAGCAAAACCATTCCCAATATCAAATCATGACTGCTGACAAAAGAGGAAACACATTGCTGTGAGAAATATGATGTTGGGTTTGAAAATGAGTTGTCAGCAGAATACGTTTTGACATTTTCAATGACAAACAGAAAACTCTCACTCATATAGGAAGACTGGAAACTCTACAGATATCCACAGCAGTCAGACTTGAATCAGGCTAAGAGGATATCAATGTTAGCTACATGAAAGCTCCAACTCTTAAGAGCCCGGTTAGCATGCTCGGTAGTAAAACAGAGGTTGTTTTAAGGCTACATCATTTATTTCCTCAAGTGGGAGACAGTTATGCTAAGAAACTCAACCTTTAAGCCGTTTTACTGAGCAAACATCATTTCATTTCGCCTCATTGAGGGAATTAAAACCCTTTTCCAAAAGATAACACTTTGTCGAGTTGGGTTTCTCAGCGGCACCACTTCTCTTTCAAAGGAATGTTTAGCCTGCCTTCAAGTCAAACAAGGCTTTCCGTGAAATCTCTTTTATCAAAAATCAGAGATAATATTTTAGTTATCACCTCGCAGTATGATTTTCTACTCTGAAGCAAAACAAACTCTGGATAAAGGAGCAAAAACAGATCAAGCGTCATTGAGGAACTGAAAGTCACTTTGACCTGTTAAATGACATGATCAAATTTACATTACATGCGTATAAATTTTCATCTCTGGTTGTTCTTTCATCTGTTAGCTCAACTCTGTGAGTAGGTGGCAACAGTACAATAACATATGTTCCTGAATTAAGTAGACTTTAACCCATTCAGACTTCACTCCCAGACTATGTGAGAGACAGGGAAACTCAGCAAGACACAATATCCCTGCAGGAGGTGACGACCATACAGCACTGACCTGCAAAGGGCTGTCGTAAATTAAAGCTATGGTGAGAAGAGGCTGCAGCCAGAGAGTGTAAAAGCATGGTTAATCAGTTTAAAGGGGATCAAAGCTATAGAAGATTGGAAGCTCTATTCTCCAAAGAAATCAGAAATTTTTAACAAACCAAAGAATTTTTTTTATCATTACCAATTCAAAGGGTCAAACTTCTTTTGAGTCCAATCCTGCTTTCAGTACAGACTCCAGAGGCTCAGCACAGAGGTGAGAACAATGACAAAGGAGCATAGCTGGATAGGCTGCACTTAAAGGACAGCATGAGTGCTCACATTTTCTTCAGTCTGCCAGTAAAAAGTGAGAACCCTCTCTACATTGAGTTGAGTGGTCAGAGCTGTTTAGTGCTCTGTACCAGAATGACGGTCACATAATACGGGGACTTCCGGAAGTCGTGAAGCTCAGTAGAAATGAATGGCTCAGTGAATCACACTGCTATCTCCATAAACACCACTTCGCTTTCCATTTCCAGCTCCACTTATTCTCACTAAGTTAAGAGTTCAATCTTGTGCTAGATTTTCTTCATTTTCCATGTAGAATCACTCTAACCTGACTGCATTGGGAACCAGGCAGTTCAAAAGCAGCTGTTTGCAGATAATGTAATGAATTTCTGATGAAAAATTATCAAAAGAGTAAAAAAAAAAACCTGCTCTTTCTCCATTTTAGTTTACTGACTGTATAATGATGGATGACTTGTCTTCATTTCCCACTGATGTATAAAAATGAAGCCAAAATACAACCACGATGGGTTCTCATATGTTGCCCATTTGCACTCAGGATTTGCACAATGAAGACCAGATTTTGATGCAGTAGTATCATTGATGGATACTCTTTCCATTCTTGCTTACCAGGTGCCAATATGAATTTTTATTTGACCCATATTCTACCTGTTGACATGGAGGATGCAGAATTAAAGGGATATTCCGGTGTAAAATTAATTTAGGGTCAAACACACCGTAACACCGAGTTAGACACTCCCTCGAGAGATGAATGTTGCCAGTCCATTACAGACCACAAGGAGGAACATTTATGATCATTTCTTCATCATTTCCTTGAAGTAATAATCACCATATTAATCATTTTGCACTTCAGACGTGGTAGTTCTTCTGCCCGAAGGTCTCGGCCTGATTGCATTTCCATGAAGAAATGATCATAAATGTTCTTCCTTGAGCTGCATCCCCCCGCTGAAGTCCGCAGTGGACTGGCCTGAGGTCTCGCTACAAATAGGCGGCTGCTTGAAGAGAGTAGGTGAGTTGTGTTTAGTCTCTTTGCTAAAGAAATCAGGCAAAGTGAAAAAGATGTTTGGTTGCTAGTGCTGTGGCTACATGTACTGTTGATGAAGTTAGATGCTGTTCTGAGCATTATTTGTGGCTACACAGTGGCGTTGTGTTTAAGGTTTGTTATTGTCCTCAGACCGCTGGGTATTGCTATCGTGCGGTTGTTACCAAAGTTGGTATAACTCAAGAACCAAGCGGTCGGCAACATTTGTCTCTCGAGGGGGTTTCTAACTCGGTTTTACGGTGTGTTTGAACCTAAATTAATTTATGCCGGAATATCCCTTTAAACTGCTGGGGAGTTATGGTGACATCGATCTGTTTTTATTCTGTCTATGTTTTGTTCATTTTAACTCTTTCAAAGACTGGAAACGTTGAATCTATCCATCTATTAGCCTCCTCACACGATCTGGTCTTTTTCATATGTCCTGCTTTCCCTCTCTCTCTTTGAGCTGATGATGGGAAAAACACCTCTGGAAGCAGCTGGAGATGCATTTTGTTTGATCAAAGCTAGAGCTCAATGGAGACATCCAGCTGAGGACTAGACTCTAAGGCAGACAGACTGTATGTGGATATGTCATTACCGGCTGTAACGTAATTACTGCACCATTAAAGAAGAGATTAAGAGCTATGATTTACTTGACAAGATACATTCCCCAAATCTATGTTATGGAGCCACATCTCCGCATTTCACTGTACAAATCAGCTCATCTTTCACTCTCTGAGACACCTGGGGCAAAGTTTGACTTTTAATCATTACATATTCCAGATGGCAGCAACCCTGGGAAGAAAGATGGTGACAGGGTCATCCTAAGATCTTAAAGTGCTATTACATCTCTAAGATCTAAGCCATGCCAGTGACAGTCCAAAAGACGACAGGATATTACAGATTTTAAGCCGCAGGCGATTCATGAAAACCCCTTGAGACTCTGACTGTGAGAGAGCTCAGCGAACGAGACTCCTGGATGTTTTTTTCTCAGCAAACAATTTAAAGCAGATCTGCATCTCCTTCTGTGCAGTCACTTTGTTATGTGGGATGACATCAAGACGCTGAGGTCATCCCGTAGACCCCGAGCAGAAAAGAAGACGACAACAAACAACAAAAATGTTTCTCAGTGGAGATGAGATATACCGTAAGCCAGTGCTTGGGGCATTACATGACCACATAAAAAAAGCCATCTTGAAACAAAACCGGGCTGTTATCTGTGACTGAACTGTGTTGTCATGCAGGATAGATCACCGCTCTACTCATCCCAAATCTTGGGAAACTATCACAAAGCAGAGACAGATAAAAGGTTGAGAAAGATGAAAGATTTGCTTATTGTTGGAGAGTGCTCCTGAGCCCAGAGTGGAGCATAATGTTGTGCTTCTATTCCACAATAAGAAATACCGTTGTTTTTCCTACGGCGCGCTGCATCGTGAAATCTGGTTGGAACATGTCTTCTTGGGTTACCCCAGTCAGCCCTGCATTCAGCTGCGAGATAACACTGATATGACGAATAACACACAACATGCGGAGACTGAAATACCTGCAGGATTTTGATGTTTTTCTCTTCTGTGTTCTGCTTTTTGTTTTCCAGGCACTGCTTTGAGCGCCCTCCCCCAGGTTCTGATTTCTATGCTCTTCCTTTGCCTTGGGGGGGCCTTGCGACTAAAGGGGCCTAAGCTTGCCCAGCCTGAAGAGTGATGTCCATAGCACCTGCTGGTTCTTCAAGCAACTATGTCCACAAAAAAAAAATCAGGACAAGCCGCTCACCCTCAGCTCTAGGAGGAAATGGGGGCAGGGAAGGAGGGTGGGGGGGTGGGGTATGGAGCCCGAGCTATCAGACTCTATTTCTCTGTCTCTCTCTTTCTCTTACCTTCACTCCCTCAGTACTTATCTATCTCTGTCTTCTTCCCAAGTGTTTTTTTTTAAACAATTATTTCTTCCTATCATTTGCTTAATAGAGCCCAAACATAGCAATCTCCCTGAGAGTCTCACACACTTTGCATGACATGTGGTGGAGAGGGTCAAAACAATCTGAGTCTCAAAGCATCTGTCGCTTCTCCACGGTGTGGTATTCCCATCTCTCAGATCCAAGGTTAATGCAGCCGCTGTTTTCATTGCTGTGTAGCTACTTAAAGGTTTATTAGCACGAGAGGGCGCAGATTATACAGAGGGGCAGTGTCAAGTTTAATAGATGACAATAGCAAAAGTCCAATCATAAAACTCTGGATGTCTGCTGTGAAAAAGAACTATAGGTTTGAAGTGGAAGAGAAGAGCATCGCTTTAAATGATATTGTAACCATTGCTTAATTATCATCATTACTAATGGTGCTTTGTACCTCACACTGACAGTATGTCCACATGCAAAATAGAGTTGGACAAGAAAGATAGCACAAAATGTTGAAGTAATCTATTTAAGTGACAGAATCATTTCTTCATTTAGGAGATTCTTTAATCCAAAGCTAGCCTGGTGTTCCTGAACTTATTAACACCTTAAAGGGGGTTTACCGACGCGCTCAAGGTTACTGTAACATGTCCCACCTTGGATGAGTCCTTTGACCCCAAATCCCAATCCCAATCCTGTCCCAAATCCCCAGCCTTCTCACTACACTGCTGCCGCGTGCAGCTGCTCTACACGACTGTTAACTGGCAGGGGCGGTCCGCTCCGCTGACGGGCTGCTTCGCCTTTTAATGAAGTGCCAAATAATAACCTTCTCCACAATGCTGCCAGGAACGAGGGAAACAAAGGTTAGGGAGAAACACATTACCTCTTGTTTGAAGTCTTGATACACTGACACATTATGCATTTCAAACTTCTGCAAACAAAAAATCCCACGTCAGATAGCGTTAGCGAGGAGGACACTTAAATTAGACCAAAAAATTTGAAAAAGCTTCAAAGCAAACGTCAGCTCAGATAATGCGCCACCTTAATCAGCCTACCACTAGTGCTCCGGCTGTTAAATATTCAGCGTAAGGCTGGTTTGACCCCCTGACCCACATCTTTCACTTATGAAATGCTATGCCTTTCCATCATACTGGAATATATTACTGTTTATGTTTATTTCTATGTTTAAGTAGTTTTATTTCTTTTTTTCTCAGGGTGCTGTGATAGAGGCTTGTACTAGAGCAGTCTATTTTGTGCATTTATTTAACAAAACACAAACATTCAATACATTTAAAGCTTATATAAGCATATTTTCGTATACTGTTTCTTTTACTCTCCCTATATGTATTCACAAATATATCCATGTATCCAGATTAAGCCCTTTCTCATCATAATCCTCCCTCAACATTACGTTGGATACAGTTGCCTTTCTAGTCTGCCCCTCCACAGCACAGGTGGTCGTGGCTTTGATCATTACGCTCATTAAATCCTGGAGTTAATCTTTCTCAGATGGATCTCCCCAAGGCTGACCGGGGCCACTTAGTCTGAGCTCATTGTTAAATTGGCTTAGACTGAAACCACACCCTTCCCCCCCCTTCCCAATCCTCAACCCCCCCTGCTGATTCAGTGTGTAACCATGTAACATATTAGGACTGTATCCTGTAGAGCAGCCACCTTGCAATCGTTTGCCGTTTATTAGGTGTGCGGTGCGACTTCCTGGTTCAGATTTAAGGTGAAAATCTGATTTAATCCACTTTGAGTAAATCGGCCATAACTCCTTTTTCAATCTTAAGCACATGACAACAAGCAGGTTAACCCAGATATCCAACACCTTTTTCCCTCCCGCCATGTCTCATGCAAATATCACCATAGAGTCTTCTCACACCCAGCATGAGAAGCTTTTATTAAGAGTGCATCTAAAATCACAGTGGTAATCCACACAGCCAAGATCAGCTTGATTAAAAATGCATTAAATCCTAGGGCACTGTGAAGAGTAATAATTTCAGTTCCACCATTATTTTTTCATACCCTCCCAGACAGAGATGTAGATTTCATTAATGCTCCTCGGGAGTGAGACAGCTCTGCTCAGGATGTCTCATGTATTATTGGGGAAGATAGTAGGAAGATATGAGCTGGGGATGGAAGTTCAAAGCCGCAGGAGTTAGGATGCTGGAGGTAGACTGGGTCATGGCAAAGGGGCTCAAATCAATATTTCCCCCATCTCAGAAGTTAATGTTACGGAGCCGAGCAACGTCTGTATCCGCACTGTTCTTCATGAATGTATCCTCACCATCTGCACCAGCCATGCTGCCCTTTCAGAGACCGGAGCAAACCAATGTTTATGTAAAGTACTCTTTTTAATCTTGGTCTGGCTATCACTTGAGTCCAAAAATCAAAAGCCAAAAATCCCACTGATCCAAAGCCTCCAGCGTCAACAGTCCCGACAAATAGACGTGGCTTTGCTCCAAGACTTCTCTGTATGGGTTTGCAAGGCTGCACTTTTGCAATTCCATTATGCTGCTGGAAAAATACACCCTGAAAACAAGAGTCTCTTGATATGGAATGGTTTTCCAGTGTATTGTGACAATTTTTTTGTCTGATTCTTGTCTAGCTGGTTGTCCAAAGCTTACTTTTTGAATACAGTGTGAAAAGCTGTATCTTTTGTGGATGTAACAAAATAGAAAAGTAGTCTGCAGCACAATATGTCGTGGACACGTGAAAGCTTTCAGGCGTTCTTTTCTTGTAGATGATAGCCCACAGTCCTCCCCTGCACATCAGGTTAATGGGCCTTGTGGTGTGGAAGGACAAGCACGTCCAGGCTCAAACTGAAATGGTAAACCAATACATTATGCTCGGGGAGCAAACCATTTTCCTTAATGGTCTTTTCCAGCAAGGCTTACACAAGAGAAACGATTCCTATCCTCTCAATGTTTCCTCTCCAGTTCCTCTTCTCTGTGACCATCACAAGGCCTGAGTAATGTTCCTATGCACTTGTTAGCATGTTTTCCTGGTAGAAAAATGTTTGTTCTCAGAGCTCACCCCTTTGTGTTTAGTTCTTTTTGTCCAATTGCATTTGGCTGGGAGTGTGTGAAGAGCAGGGATGAGGAGAGAGACAGATTCGTGTTACTGATAGGGAAGCTAGCGGCAGGTTAAAAATATTAGCTGATGGAGCTCTGTTTCCCAAAAGCTGACACAGTACAAAGAATGACAAACACAAGGTTATTTTGTTTGGTTGTTTTTTTTTTTTCCCTATTGTGGTTTAGTTCTCTACCAGATACATTTCCTTTAAATTTACACCGAACCAATCATTTTCCTCACTGTGGAAATGGAAACACATTCCATGATTTTACCATGTGAAGCCCCTCAAACTGTATCATGATGGCCTTCGAGTGGGTGTCTGCAGGATCAAGTGGCTGATATTCAATCTAATGCATTCACTCATTTCCACTGGCTGGGCAATCCGAAGGATAACTAGATTTTCTCTCCCGTGGGATATGACTAAGATCTGTCATTATCCAGGAGCCTCAAAATGAGACTTCTTACACCCAGAATAGCACAGGCCCCTCCTGTCTCAACTGCGACACATTCTCCATCCGTGCAACCGCTGTGTCCAAGATCAGTGAGAACAATCTGAGGAGAGATGCAGTCTGTAGGTTTTAGGTTTTACCATCGCAACGACAGTGTTACTAGGTCAAAGGCAGAAACCATTTAAAAGACAATGTATTACTCCTGAAACTTATATTCTGTTTATGGTGTGTGCTCATATTACTCACCAGGCCAAATGTACAGTCCCTGTCTCTGTTTTGATGTTGAACTGGGCAAAAATAAATGACATAAATAAATAAATAAAACAAGTGTATCAGAAATGGTTGAAATACTGTGTACATATTTGAACTTTTGGTTTCTAATTTATAAAAGATAAGCTTTAGCTCTTGGAGTACTTATTTTATTTTTCCTTTCATGCGTAGCTTTGTGTTTTTATTTTCTATTTCTGTAAAGTGTGTAAATATATCTTTATGATAATAAGTAATATTAAAATCTTATTTTAAGAAAAACACTGTGTCGTGGGTGTGCTTGTTGAATGTTGGGTGTTGTTTTAGCTTGACACGAGTATGTTGGATCTGAATATGGTGTTAGATAGTTTAGTTAACACATCACCAACTTCATTAACATTCAAACGTAAAGGAACAGGAAGTCTGGTGCCTAAAACAAGATTCTGATTACCTACCTACCTCACTGAGGTCCTGGGGTTTAGGGTCATACCAAATTTCATAGATATCCATCTAATTCTTGTCAAGACTTCATACTAAAATCAGCAAATAATAAAAAACAGTTGACAGCATCCTATCAAAGTTCACATCCATCAGTCCATAGGTTGTTGAGAAATTTCAGTCCAAACAAACATGGTGAACAAGCCGTGAAAGTGGCATTATAATCTCAAAAACCATGAAAATTAAGGCCAGTTTACACATTTGTATAAGGCAAGAGAGAAAAGATTCAGATGGTTCAACTATTTTTATTATTTCTTTAGTACAAGGCTATTTCATCATTCAGTCAACCTGAAATTGGCGGAAACATAATCTCTCTGTTCAGCTGAGAAACCCACTGAAATCAACAAAAAGACCCATATCTGTTCAGTTGGGATGCCTCTGGTTGGACAAAATTACTGCTCACCTACTCAAGGATTGCTGGTTATCATTTCTTCTTTCTTTTTTTATCATGGCCCTGTTGTTAATGAAATACAAATTTTGGGAAACTGAACCTTTCAGACAGACAGAAAAACATGTTTACCTGACGGCCATTAACCTTTACCTTCAGCTGAATCTTATGAAGAAATTCAGCATGCACGCGCCTTTGGAAATGTAAATCTACTCCTCATCCATTAAGGAACACTTCACCAGTGACAGGTAGCCTTTCCAGAGCTTATAGTGCATACTAAGCAAGCTGCACATTAATGCACCGCAGCTGCTGAGCATGCATGGAAACTGTGGTCTAGATGGACTCATATTCTGCATGCAAATATACATGTCATATCTTCACACAAAGGAGGCTCCTCCAGTGTTTGGAGCTGCCTCATCAGAAATCCATAAAAGTCTGCCTTTTTTATGATTTTTGGGGCATTTATGATAATATTCATACAACATTCTCTAAGCTGTAGATTTAACCTTTCACATGAAATTTTATTGGCAACTTTGGAAATATAGGAACGCACATAAAAAATTATATGTTTGAAACTTTAGACATGCTGCGCTCTCATTAAGTTGTTTATTTAAGAGAGGCTCTGTTAAACAATGTTATGCTGGGCCTTGCATGGTAGTCACTCTTTCTCGAAACCCCCTCAGGGACCACTCAGGGAAGTGTCTGGTTAACGCACTTGGCTGACATGTCATGATAGACAAGGAGTGCACCCCTGAGCCCTAGTAGCCCCCAAAAGAAGCCCAAGGTTATATCATCAAGCCTGGGTCAGCTGTATAATTGGGCTTGGGGTCACCGAAAGGATATGGAGCGTGACAATGAGGCTATAGAGTTACAGTTTGTGGCCGGGCAGCGAGAGGGGCGAAACAGCGAGGCCAGACGTCCCTTTAAAGAGTTCAAGGTCCATCTGTGAGAGTGACTCCAGCCCTGTTCACTGTCACTGCTGGTATGTGTGTCACTGCCCGGCAGCCTTTAGTGCACTGCTGGGAGAGCGGGGCGGGTTTGTTGTGGGAAAGAAATAAAACTTTCAAGAAGACGAGTGAGATACTTTGAATAATTACTGTCAGCACACTCTAAATTATTGACGTCATCCCTTCAGCGACAGGAAAACACCAGGGTTTACAGAATGGGAGTATGTACTGTTCAGTGTCTTCAGTGCTTATGTATTTGTATGAATACCACAAAAACAGACCATATCAGAAACATCTGGACTGCTTTTGGCACAGAGGCCTAGAATCAACTCCTGCCACATCATAAAAAGCTTTACTGCTGTTGGCACTCACACAATACCACCAACACAGCCCACAGAACCACTGACAAACCCACATCGGTGGACACTATCCAGCTCACTGCTGTCGCTAAACCACCTGGACTCCACCTACTAAAATTAAACAGAACCTACTGGCTGTGATTGCAAACTATGCACACATGTATTTTCAGCAGGTGTTGAAAAAGTCTTAAATATGATTTTATTAACTTTGTCAATATTTTTTTTGTTGTTGTGATGTGGCAACAAGTAGATAACTCAGAAAGGGTGTATGCAGCGTTTGAGCCAAGAAAGTGCTGCACAGTACATTCCTGTCTTTCACCACACCTCTGCAACTGATCGCCATTATACAGTATACATATATTTACTTTTCCTTTTTTTGTCAGACCTCATTTTATAATAATTTGTAAGCTTCGTGTGGAATTTTCTTGTAAAGTTACTCATCTGTACAAAATCACCTCACAATTACAAACATATTTTTAACATAAAAGGATATTTATTGTGCAAGAGGAAGTCTGCTGAGTTTCTAAAGTTCACCTGAATGGAAAAAAAAAAATCTAATGCTGGGTTCAAAAGGAGCCTTTTGTATTTTCTAATTACCTTTACTGCGACTTCAGGTTTCCTATAAGCTGAAAGCAGGGAGGAAGGGGCATGGTCATCAGCTGGTTGCAATCTGCTTCCTAATTGCTTCATGCAAGTAAAAAAAACACTTACACATGGTTCAAATTTAATGTTGATCCAATTATATGAAAAGAAACAAAACAGAAATATAGACAGTGATCCAAAATGATGCAATGTGACGTGATGCAAAGCAATGCAAAACAATACTACAATGCAATTCGAAAAACAACACAAGAGAAGATGAGATGCACGTGGTGCGACATGAAGAGATAGGATGAAATGGGAAATGATTGGATGCAGTAGATCCACTACGACACAATTAGATGCAATACTATACATAAAAACAATATGTCACTCCATGATTCTATACAAAAGATGGGACAAAAAGGAAAACAGTCAAATCTCCAGAAAACAACACAAGATGGGTGACTACGATCAACTAAATAGCAACACCCACATTAGGGCTGGGCGATATGGCCTCACATCAATATCACAATATATTGAGCAGTTCACCTCGATATCGATAAATGGATGATAACTACTCCAGGAGCTGCTCACCCCCTCCCACATTTACTTTGTCTACTTCAGTCGCCGCTCCAACCGCTACAACTTTTGAACCGTCCTCCATCTCCTCACCTGTCTTTCCTTCTTTGTTATGGACTGGATGGGGTGGAGTCACGTCTCTGATGTAGGACAGTGTCTTATAAAGGGAGATGAGACTATAGCATACCTACACACATCCAAAACCAACTTCTATTTATTTTTTTGACACTAAATATACCAATATGGGCAAAATGACGTCAGTTATTGTCGTAAATTTCATTATTGGTAAATTTTCATCTTATCGCCCAGCCCTAACCACAGCCATCTTTTCTTGGTGAAAATGGTAAAGCTGGTAAAAAAATTAGCTCAAAACAAACTGCTTGCGGTTTCATAATAACGTCACTTTGTACAGTGGACTGTGGAGGTAGTGGTGCTGACATCAAGCTACTGTGCATTTTAGTGGAAATTGAGTTTTCGGCGTATTTGGGAGCCAGAAAAGTAAGAGTAAGCAACATAATAGAGTTAGCCTACTGAACAAAAATGTCAGTAAGTGTCAAATGAGCTGAGTCACTTTGGCAGTTGTATCTGGAGAAACAGACAAAGACCAGTGTTGCACCCAACTCGTATGGCCTGGTTCCAACGCTAACCAGTATAGTGACTGTTGTGTTTACCTCACAGCACCAGACTGCCATCTGCTCCAGTCACAAGACTGCTCGCACACGTGAAATAAAACCAAACTCCACTTGTATTTGCAAATAATTTCTTTTCCACTGCAAAACAAGAGACGGTTGAATCAGGGGGTTAGAGCGAGAAGTATGTGGACAAGTATTCATTCATCCAGTTAGTAACACGCCCCTTTTGCCATCCAGGATGGGGCAGGCGGGTGTGTGACGTCAAATACAAAAGGTCAATAGAGGATTCTGACTAATGTTTACGGTCAGTTTCTATCAAACTTGCTGTGAGCAGTTGGTTTTTGACTACTTCTCTTTGCAAGGGTCAAGGATGGCATAAACAGATTTGTTATTTAGTTACATTTTAGATTTTGGTTATTAAGTGACAGACTTCTCAAAGGCACAGAGTGATCCTGTGATGAACGAGCTCTGTGATAAATGATAAGAAAAACTTGTAGCTGGGAGGCTGCAGATACAGGACTTACTGTCTGAGGGGGGTCATCATCACTGTCTGTGTGTACGTGTTTGTGAGAGAAAGCACGTGAAATCCTGCATCTGCCTCTGAGGTGAGCACCAAAAAAGTCCCGACTGCACACAGAGCCTGAAGGAAGGTAAGAGGCAGAAGCAACAGCCTGTAATGCACCTCAGCTGTGTTAACAACAGCAGTTCTGCCGAGGCGACGGATCACTGGAGTGGTCATAAAAACAAAGCAAGCGCAAACATGGAGCAGGGGGGCAGCTGGTATGTAAAACTAGAATCTAGGATGGAGGTGATATGTACAAACAGAGTCTAACTCTCTTCACTTCTGTCATGTTTTCATTAGTAAGAGACGCAGGGATAACTCCCTCTGCTGTACACATTACCTTTAGCTCGAGAACAAAGTGTGCGCACCAACCCGTAGGCTAATGTAATGAGGGTCATAACTTTCCCATCACTACAATGTTACACATTGATGACTGATGGACTGAGGATATAAACTGTTAACTTTCCTTAAGCTGTTCCTCAAGTGTCCTCTTTTGGGGCCAAGAGGACACTTCCTCTCCTATTACACTGAAAAATGTTGGCACATCGCCCTGCCATTCTTTCCTAATGCTGGTTACACAAGCTTAAAGATCCTCCGTGTGGAGGCGTGGCTACACTCACTGAGTTAACTAAAGTAATGGTCATATATATGAGGTGGTAAACAAGAAACCCTTTACATTTTATGTGGTCTGTAAAGGGGATTAGGAAGATCTCTAAAGGCATTGTTTTGTGTTGTCATGTTGTTAGGAGCTAAAGCGTTTATTGGGCAACTACTCTGCAGGAATGTGTCCTATTGTTTGGGCGCCTGCGACGTAAAAACTTCCTCATGTCTTCCTACACGCCATATTTTTAACCACCCGGGAGGTAAACAGCTTCAAACATCAATCTGAAGGGCTCAGTTGTCCTTGGGTGTTTAACCACACCACATACACATGTATGTCAGACGCTCTTCGACAGGAAATGAGCAGGCAGATCATACAGGAGTCGGCCAAACCAACATGTTTATCAGCTGTGTGCAAGTCTCAGATTATCTGATAACAAGTACTGGACTTTGATGGGATCCGCTGAGGGTCATGGTAATGCAGTCCAATCCTCTTCTCCACTTACATAAAGCATTTAAAGAAACAATCTGCAGCTGATCTGGGGATCTGCTTGGTGTTATTATCTTGTTAGGGCCAGTTAAGAGGCCGTGTCTCTGAGGGCTGAGCTGACCCTGTCAGGAAGGCGACACTTTGCTCTGTGGGCTGCCATGAAACCACAAAGGCGTTAACGGCCCAAACCTCCCTTCCACACGGACACTCGAAGACACAAACACTCACACAAAGACAGACAACAACATGAGCCACTTCACTGCCCTCAAGGTATTTTCCCTGATCTGTCAAGAGCGTCTGTCTGTCAGTGTTTGAAATATGAGCATGAGGATCTTGAGACTAAAACGTGTGATAACTTATAATTGATGTATAATTTCCAGACTCTTCTTCTTGCTTATCTATCATTCAGAGTATTTATATTACAGCTGCCCTCAAATTGGGTCATCGCTGAATCATATAAAATCTTACAGTCAAACATGTGTTGCTAGTAGTTGTATTGAGTGTCTCTTAATCTCATCACTAGTTAGAAATGGATTCCACTCCCACATTTTCCAAATGGTGCAGTCCAAGTTGCAGTCAGTGACAAATTACTGTAATAAAAGTCTCAGTTGAATAATGGCTCAGTATTGATTTTGTTATTAAACATTGTGTAGACACTCAAACTTTTTTCCATGTGGCTATACAGGTATCCAGTCTTTTTTTCTATATCTAATTTAATTATCTTATCGATCGGTGTGAAAGGACTTGATAATGGAAGAATGTCTGATTTGATTTTGTTAATTTCAGTCACTTCCTTCACCTAGAGTTCAGAAAACTTCAGTTATCATGCTGTTCCTGGGTTTCTGTTCAACTTATGCTCAAACAACGAGCAGAAAAACAAAACTGATTGCTGGTACTGAGCCATTCAGAGAGAAGACAATGATGTCGTGACATACACTGACCTATAATTGCCAACAGCAGAGTGCGGAGGGGGCAGTGATTGGCTGGCTTTTAGGGCCCTGTGGCCTGAGAGGATGAGAGCCATCATGCAATTGCTCGGGATCAGCAAATCACTGTCAGATGCACACAGGCTGGACCACTCCAAGCCAAAGCTATTTTCCCATTAGACCCAGAGGGCACAGGGACAACAACCGAAGCAAAAAAGGGTACAGTGAGAGCCAGAAAATCCTGTACGTGTTTTCCAATGATTTCACAAAAAGTAAAACAAATCATATTAAGCGTAAGAAACAAGTTATTTTTACATCTTTGCGCAATTCTGTTCTCTTCAGTGTTGAGTGGTTGAAAGGTCAAACAATTACAAAACAGTTTCTTCTGAGCTTCACTCATTCAATGACAGAGAAAAAAGCTGTTCTCATATTTGGGTATACAATCAATAAATGAATGATTATGCGCATAACCACCTCACATTCATGCACTGCGAAAAAAAGTCTACATGTGTGAGCTAGGGCTAGGCGATAAAACAATAACAATATATATTGAAAATTATTTCCCTCAATATCAATATAAAACATGGTCAATATGCTTTTCGATAGTCATCATTCTGCCATGTTTTGGTAGACTATATGAATAGCCAATGGAATGGGAGTTGCTCCAGGTCCGGATCATGTGCTGAATTAGAACCAAGTAGCAAACAACTGCATAGTATCAGGCTGCAGCTAAACACAACCATAGTACTTTAACACGTGAAGCCGACAGCACTGTTGGTGAGAAAAAAGAAAATGAGCGCTACCCCGGCAGAAATGCAGATGAAGGCTCAACAGATGATGACATCGTCGGCAACACTGGCACAAAAACGTCGGTGGTGTGGAGGTATTTTGGTTTTTTGAGGTCCGACATGAAGCAGAGTGATGTGCACTGCAAATTATGTAGAGTACATGTTCTCGCAAAGTAAGAGAATACTTCAAATCTTTTTCACCACCTGAAGCAGTGCCACGCACCAGAGCACGTGCAATGCAAAAGGTTACAAACCCCGAGCAGAGCAGGGAGCCCATGGCGCATGTGCAGCCGAAACAGCCGACCATTCAGTCTGCTTTCTCTAGGGCAACGCCGACAAACATCAGAGACACAAAGACCTCACAGATGCAGTAGCTTATTGTATTGCAAAAGACATGCTACCAATAAGCACTGTTAAATTTTAATTTTTTATACTGTGATATATATTGTGAAAAACTTTTTCCCATATTGCCCAACCCTAGTGTGAACACAGATATCCTACTCTGCCTTTTTCTAATATCACTGAAGTAAAAAGTCCTTGCTATGTTGAAGTCGTCCAACAGTGTTCTCCTCACATAGACAATACTTGGGCAGGCCATCTAAGTCCACCTACCAGCTGTTTTAGGACCCACATTTCTCTTTTTTCATGCAAATAAAACCACCATACTCTACCCAGGCGCCATCCATCACCGAAACAAAATCAAACATTCCTGGTTGTTAGAAAGCATCTGACACAGTCTCCCATTGTGTGGGACAGGTTTAAAGGGTAATTCCGTAAGATGTTAGGACTTTAAAAGAGACAACATTAACAGCAGCAAGAAAGGACACATTTCAAGATATCCGTTCATTTCTAATCTGCCAACACAGATTAGATGAACTCCATTCAAACCATAATTGCAGATTTCCTTAAATCACTGCCAAAGCTGCCCAGTTTAACAAGCTTTTGAAGACGCTGTAGAAAAACTGCTCCTATTAGCCAGTCAGCCAGTTTCTGATGTCTTAATGCAGGTCAGCTCCCAGACCTGCAGCTGCACAGAGAAAGACAGACCAGGAGAAGACGAGTGGGGGGTTTTGTGGAATAAAACCTAGAATCAGCAGCTCTCCCTCTGCCTCCCTCCTTATCTGCTCGCACAGCCAGCGGAGAAGCACACAGACACAGCACTCTCAGTCACAGCCAAGCTTTCCTGGCATCTCTCCCCCCACTATGGAGAGATGAGTTTGTCCTCCCATCTACACCTCTGTGTGAAAACCCAACACACATCCAGCAGCAGCAGAAACGAGCACATTTAATTGGCCAGCTGTCTGAGTGGTCAGAGCCACTAATTACTTCAGACAGCATTTTTTCTGACAGTTGCCCAAACCATATAAGAGAGCATATTCAAAGTAACACACCAACCATATGCAAATATCATAGATATTGTCCTTGCCCCCACATCCCCAATGGAGTGAATCTTTCCCATTTCTCCTTCAGGATGTCTAATTGATTAAAAATTCAAGGTATGCTAATACAAAGCTCATGAGTGAGCGTCAGCTTGCAGGCAATAGTTGGAGTCAAGTCCCCGCAGTAAATCAAAGTGATGTCTTATCAACTAATTATCTCCCCTGAATTGTTTATCAAACACAAACCCTGCAGACTTTTATCCTCCTGTTTCAGGGTTTTCTGTGAAGCTCTCTGTGTGTGCTCAGGCTCTTTAAACACACATGTGTGTAGGTGACATCTCTGGCTAACATTGCGTGTAAGTCTAATAAACACAGACATCAGCAATATACAAAGCACACTTACTGTGGACACCACAAAGACACAGATGAAGGCCGGAGGGTGGAGGATGTGATCGAGGGCAAGGCAGGTCAATGCTGAAAAAAGCAAACATAGAGTTTGTAAGAGAATTATATCAGTATTTTCTAAACAATAGTGCCTTCTATCTGAGAGTAATACCACATTGATAATATTTTTATGAACAGCTCTTTCTATCAACTGAATTAGAGTTTTTGCAGAGATGCAAGATCCATTTTTTTCCAATCTAATCTGACACCAATACCTGGTATTACCGTATCAGCCGATATCCGATATCGATCCAATACTTCGGTTGAATGAGCAAACTGTATACCTTGCCCTGTGAGTGAAGGCATCAGGCTTGACATTAGCCTTGTTAAAAAAAAGGTAACAAATTAACACAGATATAAATTTACTTATTATTTATTAACAAATAACAAATTGCACATTAGCACTCAGCAAAAAGAATTAAGACTTTCATGTATTAAAAGAAAAATTAATTAAAAGAAAATTTCTAAATAGACTGGATTGGAATGTTGGATCGGCATCATTCATCCAATATCCGATCCAGTTAATTTGTCAATATCAGAGCTGATACCCGATCAGTGCGTCCCAAGAATTTTGTTGGACAGTTGGCAAACTAATGAGTGACTTTTGACACTAAACAAAGAAGAAATCTACAAATAAATGTAACTGAACCTGAAATTTATGATTGCATTTGTGTCAAATTGTTGCTGACTGGTTACGTATCCCACTTACATAATGTACCTCAAGCAAACAACTTGTGTAGTCACATTTACACTGCTACTCTAAGAGGACTTAGAGATGGCAGGAAAAACATGGGCTTTGCTTTGCTGTTGGTGTTTAGTAACAGATTACTGACATGAGGTCAGGATGTGTTCCTGCGTTTCCTGGAGAATATCTGTCTTCAGCAGGGGAACATCAGAGACCACATGGATCAAGCCACAGCCAGCCAATCATATACCAGAAAAACACGATAGGGGAAGGCGGAGTGAGTACACACGAACTGATAAGACAGACACTGGATCTGGGATGATATGACTTGCCGAAAAAGGTCAGACGTGTGGGCGATGGTACACATTAGCTAATACACAAGCCCCAAAAAGGTAAACAAGAAAAACTCAGGACTGCACCATTAAAGGTCCAAACTTGTCTGGTACTTCAGCAGAGATGACCCACACAGGGCTGTCCCCTCAACAGCTACTCCACTCGTGTAAACATGACCTCTGTTAGACTAACAACGGCCTCAAATTTTTTCAAAGTAATCCCGTCCCATGAGGGAGTGGCTGTAAAACCAGAACAGGCATTTTGAAAATCCTCAAATATGCGTGTGTGCCAAACACACCGCTTAGCAGAGACAGACAGAAATTCGGTGGCACATACTCAACATTAAGATAAATCATTGGCCTGTGTGCCTCATTGAACACCATGTGTTCCCGTCATCACAGGCACAAAACCAGCTCGTGACCCCTGCTAGACATCATCTGTTTCCTTCACCAATTTCCTGTCATGTTCCATCGAGTACTATCTAGTGAAGCGCAGGTTTCCTGAGCAGATAATACTGATGTCAGAACTCATAATGTTTCACCGTCTGTTGTCATACTGGGAAAGGAGTGTAAAAATAAGTCCAATTATCACTATTTCAGAAACATTACCAAACGAAAAGTCTGTCTTTAATTTTTTCTTTTTTTAATAATCATATTTTATTGTATTTTCAGAATTTACAAAGAACCATACATCAATTTAATTCAAATAAGATAGAAAATGACGAGAAAAGGATTAAGAAAAAAAAAGAAAACAAGACAACAAGACGGGTAAACAAAGAAAAACCCCAACAACAACAACACAGCAATGTGTCATCAATTAAAGAAATGTGTGTCCTTGTATTTATAATTTTTATCATTAGCTCAGTCTGGGACCCCTTAAACCACTGTCTCTCTTCCATATAGTTTCACTCAGATCTTTAGGCAAGTAATCCATAAGGGGCCGCCACGTGTCCATAAAGATATCATCATTCCCTTTTAATTTGGCACTTCGCCATTCCATCAGTAAACTCTCAAGATTTCTTTGTACCACTGAGTTACACTGGGAGGTTTGTTACTAGTCCAATGAAATAGTATACATTTTTTGGTCAAAAATAAGAGTTCATCAATTAATTTTGATCTTCTTACATCCATAACTCTATTTGTAGGTGGCAGCCCCAATAAAAACCGGCCTGGATCTTTACAGATCTTGTTTTGAATATTGCTGTCACTTCCCTAGATGCACATGACCAGGACTTTGATATTCTTGGACAGCTCCAGAAGTAGTATATATATGTTTCATTTGTTAACTTACATTTAAGGCACAATGGTGATCTATTAGGTCTGTCTTTAATTCAATTCTGCTGTGGATGAGTTGACTTCTCTCATATCAGTGTCCATTATGCTAAATTTCTCACACTGCTGTCTTCTGAATAAATGCAAGTCATCCCAAAGTAATCCATAAAAAATGGCGGCTGAGGTCAAAACAGTGGTATGTTCATGAAGATGGTGAAAGCAATGTTGAGGTGATCTTGATTGTTTGTGTTTATGGAAAGGGGAAGGACTTCAGCACTGAAGATTAGGACACGTGTGCAGTGTTCCTTTTGCAGTTAAAGTAACACAAGTGAATGAAAGATTGGTGAATAATTATAGTTTTGATTAAATGTTAACAAAGATTTTGGTGTTATATCAACCCAACTCCTCCATGTTTCCCTGACCGTAAAAAACCTTTGTACCTGAATATCACCATGACAACACTGACAGTGGATTGGAACATTTTGTGTTAAGTGAAAATTACTTGGAAAAAATGTGCTAACATGTTGTTGTGGGGTCTCTATTAACTGCATTTGAACTTTCTGCCAGTCTGTCTTACTTGTTATTGTTGTGCCTTGAGTTAACGTTTATGGTGAAGGTAAGACATAATGCCATTTCAGTACGGGTATGTTTGCCTCTGTTATTCCTCATCTGCAATTTTTGATGCACCACAATAGGGTGTAATGGTGGGGAAAATCATCCCTCCTCTGATCCTCCATTGGAGGTTGTAACAGAGGCAGAATAGGGAGAAGACTGCAATGGGTAAGTACAAAGGTGGAGGAATGGTGGGACTTTATTCTAGCACTGTTGCAACGTTTAAGAGGCTTTAGTACAGGGTGTTAGCAAGCTTATATTTGTTAATGAGCATTAGATACAAAAAAGAGAACATCATATGTTTAGAGGCATTTGTTCACACGTCAAAGTAATACAGAAACGTACATGGACCAGAAAAGTCAGAAGAAATAAGTAATTCAGCCATAGACTGTGTGAATTCCGCTTATAGGACTTTTTTTTCATATGGCTTTTTTCAGTTTGGACTTCATTCTTCTTCAAATTGAATTTATCTTGAGATTAGAATATGGGGAGAAATTGGCTTAAGAGGAAACACTGAGGCCAAACTATCAGGCTGCTTTTGGAGTATCAACATTTTTCTCCCATCGTGTAATAAAATTACCGAGAAAAAGTCCATATGTCTAAAATAACATTAAACACACTGCCTCAGAGTTCTCAGAACTCAGGGCTCTGAATGTCCAACACCGCCCAGTTTGGATACAGCAATTATGTTGCACAGATAAAAACACATGAACCACGACTGCCATTCATACATGCACAAAAGATTATACTGCTAGAACTGAGATGATTCCCAGAAAATTTCACTCAATTACTGAAAAACCCGGAGTCAAATGACGTGCCTTTCAATTTGGACCAATATGGTTGTATTTTTGTAGGGCATTTCACCCACCAGACATTCTGGTTTATAACATCTTTACAACAACTGATACAAATACACACAAACACACACTAGCAGTTTGAGCCTAAAATGCACTGATCTAATACAGCAGGTATGTTTATATTTGATAGTAGTGAGCATGTGTTGCAGGTGTAGGGCATTCCTCTAACACAGTAAATAAAAGTGCATTAGTCAGTCTAACAAACTCAAAGTATAACATTTATTTAGATCTTGTAATAAAACAAGATAAGGTAATCAAAGATGAGAGTAGATCCACCCTAGAGCAGCAAAGGAAAAATATCATGTATTAAAAAAGAGTGGAGTAAGCAACATCATAACTCAGTTTATCACCAGAATAATGAATTTAGTCCTTAAACAATCGATAACTGCAGTAGTATGACCAAAAGTGTGATTTGATTTCTGTTTCCCCCAAAGTATTTGTTATTCAAATTTAGTGTGTAAAGGTTATTTCTGGAACACAAGGCTGTCCACTATTGTTTTCAGCAGGACATAAATCTAATCCAAGACCAAAAACAGTCTGTGTAAGCCACTACTTAAACTCTGTCAAAATATATTTAGACACACCTCAAGCTGTAGTAAAAACTCAAGTTCAAAACACAGGACAGGACCAGTTGCATAGTCTGTCTGTTGTGTCTGATTCAGTGGAAGTTACTCAGTGGTCACAGCGCACCCGAAG